AATTAAACTGTGGACCTACAATCTCTTGAGAAATCAAACAATGAAACAGAGGAGTTCCTTATCAATTCTCTATTTTGCTCTAATAAGTTTACTGTCGCTTCTGCTTCAGCACAAATATGCATAGAGAACTGTAAGCAGACTCACCCTCTCTTCTTTTAAAAAACCCTACCTCTTAGTTAGCATGTATATTAAAAAAATTAATTAGTCGAATTTTTAAAATTATAATTCATTAATTTCTTCTATGTGATAAACATAGTATCACATCTAACTAAAAAACAAGCTTAAATAACCTTCATAAATAAACTATTACAAGCGAAAAATTAGACAATAATACCTATATGGCTTATAAACACTTTTTTCTTAATCAAAATAAATTAAATATAAATATTACAACAATCCCCGCGTAGCACGAAACATTCTCAAGTACTAAATGAAAGAAGGAGTTTAAGGCTTCTTAAGCTATCCACCTCAGCTTTTTAAGTTAGTCTCTCCTTTTGCCACATAAGCAAAAAACAATAATAAAATATTCTTACAAAATATTTTTTGAAATACATATAAAATAAATAAATACAACCACTAATATTAATATAGTTATTAACAAAAACTAAATAAAATTAAAATATTATTTTTGAATCAAAATATCATTTTTGTATCAGTAAAATAAACATCATTTAAATCTAAAAATTTAATATATTCTCTTTTTTTTTATAATATAATGAATATTTTGAAAAATAATTTTCACCAAAAAAACTTAAATAATAGCTAACAGAAACAAGGTTACAAAAAATAAAAAGAAGAGTTTGAGACTCTTTAAGCTATCCAATTCAGTTTTTTAATTTACTCTCTCTTTTTGCCACATCATCAAAAAAACGATAATAAAAAAACTCTCACATTAGATTTTTTGAAATACAAATAAAATAAATAAATATAAATACTAAAATTAATATAGTTATGAACAAAAACAAAATTAAATTAAAATATCATTTTTAAATTAGTAAAATAAACATCATTTAATTCTATAGCTTTAATATATTCTTCTTTTGTTTGTAATATAATGAATATTTTGGAAAATAAATTGCTCAAAAACGGTTAAATAATAGTTCATAGAAATAAGGTTACAAAATAGTAGTTTCTATAACAAAAATTAAAACATTCGCAATTTAGAAAAAAACTAAAACATTCATCTTTTAGAAGCATCCAGAGTTTATACAAAACAAATATTTTTTTTTTCTGAAACTAACATAACTGTATTGTACATATGTGGATACAAAATTGTCTATTATTTACACAAAGATAAATTTATAAGACTTTATTAAAATATTACTTATTACAAAAAATATATGCAATACATTTACAGAAAAATAGATGAGCAAAACTATATATTAAACATTAATATATTAAACTTTTATGATTAAAAATAGTATATATATTTTTATGTGAAAGAAAATGTCATAAAAACATTCATAACCATCCACATCAACAAAAAATAATTTTTTTACCAACTCAACATGTAAGGAATACTAATATGATTTTTTTGGTTAAAAAATCTTTTAAAAAACATAATATAAATTATTAATTTAATTATAAAGAATCATCAAAATATATGTATAGTGTAAAAAATATCTAAGTTAAATATAAATGAATTTTTAACACTTTTTGAGTTTTGAGAAACTCGACATACTTTGTTTAATGTAATGAATTTGTATGAAGTTGTATTTGTATATGTATTACTTAAATCCACATCAACAAAAAGAGAAATTCTTTACAAACTTAACATGTAAGAAAAACTAACATGGTTTTTTTCCTGGGGCTTAGAAACTCTTTTAAAAATATTATAATATATTATTAATTTAATTATAAAGGCTCATAAAAATATATGTGTAGTATAAGAAAAATATCTAAATTAATTTACAAATTAAATTCAAATGAACTTTTTACACATTTTGAGTTTTGAGAAACTCGACATATTTTTTTTTAATATAATGACTTAGTATGAAGTTATATTTGTGTATGTATTATTTGCTTTATTCATCTATAGTTCTATAGTTCACAGATACTTCAAGGACCAAATCAAAATTGCAGTTTATCAATATGATTTTGATTTTGTATACTATGTAAATGTTGTTTTTATTTATACAAACAATAGTTCTTTTACGGATTTGTAAGAGTTTTGAATATCGATTGTTGTTGTATTTGAGACTGCTAATGAAAAAAAACACTACACAAACACAAATAAAATGAAAATAAATTCAAATTAATTGGAACAATAATCAGGTATTTCAGTTGTAGTCATATGTTTGATAACTTATTTTTTTAATTTAAAATCAAAATAGTTTTTAATTAAATAAACAGAAAACTTATAGTTGTTGAGTTCAATTATCAAATTTAGTAAATACAAAATAATTTTATTAATATTTTGAAAGTTAATGAACAACAATGAGTTTATATACAAATATTAAGTTTTAGATTAATAGTTAATTTTCACATACATTAAATTAGTCAATTGTTAAATTGAATCATAATATATTTTTTGAGTGCTAAAAATTTTTTGACGTATAACTACATCAAAATGATATTGAAAAACAAATATTTATTAATTTAAAATAAAAATAATTTAACTTAAATAATAATCAAATATTTATAAAAATAATCCGCGCGAAGCGCGGAAACATCCCTAGTTCTTGTATAATAGTACTCTTTTGTAGCCATCGATTACATGTAAATTCGTTAATTCTGTGTGCATTCATTTGACTCGAGTGACGCCTTTTAGAAATTTACTAAATGAAAAAAAAAAATTGCATATTGTAATTAAGGTGGTTTTTTTGTGTGTGATAAAATTATGAGTTATTTTCACATCTTTGTAAATAAATAACGTTTATCACAATGAAGGAATTAAAAATTGCAATTCCACAAATACACTACATATTATTTGAGAAGTAACATTATTGAAAATAACTGGTTTGTCAACATCACAGCCAAAGTTAGTGTTTTTAATTGATGACATGTAAATGTGACATGTCAAACTTCTTAAAATAAATAAAATGTTTTGATTAGTTGAATTAAAATTATAGAAATTATGGATTAAAACATAAATACATTAGATTATACTTATAACACTAAAATTAACAAATTTAAATGAACAGAAAATAATAATTATTATAATTTTAATTTTTTACACATATTCATAATTTCATAAAATATAATTACGAATTTTTTAATAATATATATATATATTATAATTTCATATAAAAACGAAAAAATAATACTAAATTATCCAATAGGATAGTAAAATTTCTATTTCAGAAAGTTATTAATTTACAAAATATAATATAGTAATAATATCTAAACAAGTTTTTAATAAACAAATTATTAAATAATACAATTATCATGATAAAAATAATTTAAAGAATAAAATGTTAAAAATAATAAAAAATAATTAACTTTTATTGAAATTTATTTTAAAAAACGTAATTTAAAATAGTTTTTTTTTTCAAACCAATATTTACTAAATGAATAAAGTATATACTAATTATTATTTTATAATACTAATTGGACCATGTATTTTTCTTTAACTTTTATCATCTTTCTATTGTTGTTTTCTAAAATATACATAATTTATGTTACCATCTCAACTTTTTACTTATCATATTATAAATAAAAATAAAAGTTTATATTTTCATGGTATATCAAAAATTTGAGATCATAAATAAAATGAAAAATAACCAAACGAAAGAATAAATTAAATAAGATGAAATAAATATGAATAAGAAATAAAAATAAAATATATAAAAATAAATCTCTCGTACTTTATTTTATAAAGTCACTTAAAAACGTTTTAACACGTAAGAGCCATATTTCAACTTTTTTACAAATACGCGTATATACATATATATTAATTATACATTACTTGAAGTCACATGCAAACTTTTTCATGCATATAATTTGTTAAACTTGATTCTAATTTTTATTTAAATTATTATACAATTTACATTTTTTAAAAAATATTTATCTATTCTAAGTGTAGTGAAGTGGTTGGTATTCTCGCACATGCGTGCTAACCATCTTTCCGTTTTTAGGAATAAATAAAAATAGTAAAAACTATTTCAGTTTAATTTGTAATAAATTAAGAAAAAATATATACTTAAAATATATTATATGTGTATTTGAAAATCATATTATGTAAGACGCAAAAAACATATTGTATATTGTGTAAGAAAAAATAAAACATGTTACAGAAATATTCAAAAAATATTATAAGAATTTAATTATTAAATAATATAACTTTATATTTATGATTATATATTATTACAAGCATTATAAAAATAAAAAGTTTTAAAATACATTAGTTTCAGAAAGAAGTTTGTGAAATATTAAAACAATATATATATACAAACATACTAATGTTTGAAAAAACTAATCAACACATAAATATTACAATTAACTATGTATATCAAAAAAATTATACCCATACATATGTGCAGGCCAACTACCTAGTTTATATTAAAAAAATTGATTTTCAGTTATGCGATAATAAATGTTTTCAAGATTTTCCATACCTTTTAGTTTTTATTAGACAAACAAAACAAAACAAAATCGACAACTCCCACATGCTTGGGCCAACCCTTCTCTTTCTATCAACATACATTCCTTGTGGGCTTCTTCTTTCACGTGGGTTCTACAAATATTTTATCACTTAGCTTTATTTGGGTTCTCTCATCTTGTATTTGTGAATTTTCTAAAGTCGCTAAGCACTTTTGCCTCAGTTAATTAAATGCAATTAAAAGTTAAAAAAACAAAAAAACTCCAACTTGCTGTACGTATCACATTCTTTACGTTCATCTGCAGAATAATTTACAGATCACGTAGCCACATCAATGTCTTGTACTAATTTTTTTTTGCTGTAGTAGATTTAGAATGGCCGTTTGTATAATAATGGGCCTATGGGCTGACCCATTGAAATCCGTTAAAAAGGTATTAAGCCCATATTGTTAGGAGCGTCACTAAAACCCTAGAAAATACTCTCTCGTCTATTCCTCCTCTTCTTCTTCTTCTTCCTCCATCGTTCACCGTCAAAGATAGCCTCGAAAAAAATTCAGAGATGGGGAAGCCGGAGAGGAAGTCGAATGTGTCCGGGAAACCAAAGCATTCGCTCGATGCGAATCGTGCGGATGGGAAGAAGAAAACCACCGAGGGGCGTAGCTCCTCCGATGTTCGCCGACTTAAGATGTACAAGACTAGGCCGAAGAGGTCCCCCGGCGGTAAAATCCTTTGGAATGAGTATCAGTCAAAGGAATTGCCCAACACGCGAATCCAACCCGATAGGAGATGGTTTGGTGAGTTTTGAGTTCGTATGAGCTTATTTTTTGTTATTTGATTTCATCATATTCGTGAGAATTACCCAAATTGACTCTCATGCCTCTGGTTTTTGATGTATTGTGCAGGGAACACGCGTGTTGTGGATCAGAAAGAGCTCGAAATGTTCAGGGAAGAGCTGGAAACTAAGATGTCGAGTAATTACAATGTGATTTTGAAGGAGAGGAAGTTGCCGATGTCTCTCTTGACTGATAACAAGAAGGTAAAGGTTTTAACTTTAGCTGAATTAGATCATCTTGAAGTTTGGATTTTGATCGGTTATGTTACTTTCTTGTAAAGCAATCGAGAGTTCACCTACTCGACGTGGAGCCATTTCAAGATGCTTTTGGAAGCAAAACTAAAAGGAAGCGCCCGAAGCTCGTGGCTTCTGATTACGAAGCCTTGGTGAAGAAGGCATATGAATCCCAGGGTAAAAAATTGATTTCTAATCCTAATATTGTTGGGAGTAATCTGGCTCCTCTCGAGCTTGCTGTGCTCGAAATGATGTATTCACTGAAACGTTTCGTTAAATTTTGAAGATGCATTCGAGGAGTTGAATGGGACAGGTCCATCTGGTGAAGGAGGAGAAGAAGAGGACGGGTTTAGAGACCTTGTGAGGCATACGATGTTTGAGAAGGGGCAGAGCAAGCGTATTTGGGGTGAGCTTTACAAAGTCATAGACTCATCTGATGTAATTGTCCAGGTATGTGACTCTTGATTCAAATTTTCGAGTTAGCTAATGAAAGGAGAGATCTTGAAGTTGTATTCTTTATTTTGGCTTACCGGTTTTTGTGTGCATGACAGGTTTTAGATGCTAGGGATCCGCAAGGTACTAGGTGTCATCATTTAGAGAAAACTCTGAAAGAGCATCACAGGCATAAACACATGATTCTATTGTTGAACAAGGTTTAGTTTGTTCCATCTTCGTGGAAATTCAGTTTGGCTGTTTCTCTTGTGAAAGTTACTTACTGAGTATATCTATCTGTCTTTCGTGTGTGTGATTTTTAAGTGTGATCTGGTACCGGCTTGGGCTACAAAACAATGGTTGAGGATATTATCAAAGGAGTATCCAACGCTAGCGTTCCACGCAAGCGTTAACAAGTCATTCGGAAAGGTATTTCATCGGTTATACACGTCTTTTAGAGAGCCTCTGATCTATTGATTGATGTTTTCCCGCTTTGAAGTCTTGTTATATCTGTGCCCTTGTGATGGTTTATTTCAGGGGTCTCTTCTCTCAGTTTTGAGACAGTTTGCTCGTCTAAAAAGTGACAAGCAAGCCGTATCTGTGGGATTTGTCGGGTATCCAAATGTTGGGAAATCATCAGTTATCAACACATTGCGTACTAAAAATGTTTGTAACTTTCCTTCTCTGTTAATTTCATGTATTTAAGTATATGCATAGTTGAACACTAAATTGTCAATTTACTTTGGTTCTCACATTTTCATCTTTCCTCACTTCCAGGTTTGCAAGGTTGCTCCAATTCCAGGGGAGACCAAGGTGTGGCAGTACATCACACTCACCAAGAGGATTTTCTTGATTGATTGTCCTGGAGTTGTATACCAGAGCCGTGATTCTGAGACAGATATTGTCCTCAAGGGAGTGGTATGTTTCTTGTATTATACAGTCTTCTTTCATGAAGTAACGACTTTTGTGATACTTTAGTGCTTCGAAACTTCTAAGACCATGTTGCCTCACTTGTAAATGTCGTCTTATGTAAACCCATGGTTGATAGCTTCTATTGGTCCCACTCTATTCGGTTCCCTGCAAGAAGTGCATTATCTTGACTGATTCATATTTTTTGGATACAATATAGGTAAGAGTTACAAACCTGGAGGATGCGTCTGAGCACATTGGAGAAGTCCTGAGGCGTGTCAAGAAGGAGCACTTGCAAAGAGCCTATAAAATAAAGGACTGGTAAGGGAAATTCCACTTTTGTCATCTTCTTCTTCATGCATGCCTCTACTTTTGGGGATGAAGTGTTAATTTTCTGTTTCGTTATTTACAGGGAGGATGATCATGACTTTCTTCTTCAGCTATGCAAATCGTCTGGCAAACTGTTGAAGGTTTGTGTTCCCCAATTATAATAGGCTGCGAAAATCTGTTCCTCTATAAGCGAGTGAGATTGCTCAAATGTTGCTCTTGTTGTTTCAGGGCGGAGAGCCTGATTTGATGACAGGAGCAAAGATGATACTCCATGACTGGCAAAGAGGTCGCATACCTTTCTTTGTCCCACCTCCTAAACAAGACGATGTGGTGGCTTCAGAAGCAGAACCGAATGCACCAGTCACAGTGCCAGGTATAGATAAAGAAGCCGTTGCTAATAACAATCAAGCAGATGCTGCGTTGAAAGCCATTGCTGGCATCATGTCGTCCCAACAACAGAAGGATGTTCCTGTCCAAAGGGATTTCTTCGACGAGAAGGAGCTCAAGGATGATGATAATGAATCGAAGGAGTCAACCGATGAAAATGGAACCGATGCTCAAGAAGATGAGGACGATGCCTCGGAAGATGGAATGGATAGTGAGAGTGATTCAGATGAGGATGGTGTCTCTGAAAACGAAGAGGAAAACGAGTCAGATTCTGCTGATGAGTAATGGAATGTTTCACTTTTGTCATTTTTGTCTACTTGTGATAACCTTATCTTACTTAACTCAAAGTGAGACTCTTCTTTTCAAACCATTTATAATTTACAAAACGCAGTTTATTACTCTCCGTTTTACAAATTAAGAAATTTAATAAAAACTCTTTTTTATCTCTTATATACTAAACAACTTTTTTTCTAATCAATACATTAATATGGTTAAAACTGGATTTTTAATTTAAATTTTTGTATTGAAATTATAAAACTATATTCTTTGTAAAACAAAAATAAAATTTTAAAACACTTTTGTGAAATGGAGTGAATAGTATTTATTTAATGTTTTTGTTGACGCTGAAATTTGCAGTTTAAAGAAATGTACAGAAAGTATGATGTTTTGGCTTGTTTACACAAATTAATAAATAATCATTAATTATTTTTTTAGTTACCTTTTCATTTTAATATTTTTTTATATTAATTATTATAGTGTATATTTTGTTTTTTCAAGAATAAAGTGTTATTGAAAGAAGAAATAGATTAAATATAATTTAAAAAATCAAACTTAATGGAACCAAGAAGAATTATAAAACATCAAACTTTCTGAAACAGAAGAAATAATAATTTTTCTAGAGAAATATGAATTTTGGAATTTTATTCTCGTTTCATTTTGTAAAATGATTAATACAGAGACGAACAACACTACACTGCATATAGAAGTTGTGCACAGAAGCAAAGGTTCAACAAAGGAAGCAGCGAATATAAATTATATAATAAACGAACTCGAGTAGTCTCATTTCTCTGCATATTTCTCCAGGAGTCTCATTACTTTGGCTGGATTAAATCCGATGACTTGCTCCTCTAAGTATCCACGTCTGATGAAAATTATGGTCGGAAGCTCACGTACGTTGTACCTTTCTGCGATGACAGGCGCCTTGTCAAAGTCGATCGTGTAGAAATTGAACCTACCCGTGTATATCTCGTCCTCTAGGTCCAGTACGCGATCCATCATGGGACAACGTTTGCACTGGTCGGATGTGAACATAACCAGCACGGGGAGTTCAGACATCATCACAAGTGAATCCCATCCCGATTCCGTGATATCTTGTACTACATATATGAACAAAACAGGGAGTTAAAACGATATATTGAAATCAATATTGCAAGATAACAGCACTAAAGCAACAAATACTATTCATTATATATAAAATTCGTTAAGTTACCCTTATGGAGCTTAGCGGAATAGAGCAAGTCGTCGTTAGACCTAGACACTACCGTCTTGATCAAGGAATCTGACCGTTTACACATCCCAACACTAAATCCTAAACACACCAAGCAAGTTACAGTTACTGCCAAACGGGAAAGAACCCTAATTTGCTCCATTCGATACTTTCTAATCTCTCTCGCGACCCGTTTGAAAGTGTTGAGAACAAAGCCTTCTACTCTAGTTTTATATAATCTTCCACGATCTACATTACGTTCTCACATATCACAATAGTTTACTTGAAAAATGTACACGTTTATTCACTTCCTCGAAGCTTCCTTAAAGTCAAATCATCATTTGTATATTACCACATTCCCCACTCTTTAATGATCATTCTTAGATGTATATATTTTGTCCTTATCTCCCCCAGCACTTTAAGTACTTACAATAATATACACGAGTTTCTCTCTAGCACATTTCTTTTTCTAACATGAGAACCATAAGAACACTATTTAATCGCATGTTTTCTTGTTTTAACTAGGTTTATTTTTGAAAGACATATCAATATATTAAGTTACAGTAACTTGATCTGAATTCAAGTGAAATATATGTTACAGTAACTTGATCTGAATTCATGTTAAACCTAAATTCAGATCAAGTTACTGTAACATATATTTCAAGTAATAAGAGATATTAGATCCATATAGTAATATTATCTATACTTTTTGGTAAATGTAAACGTGAATTCCAAGAGATCAACATATTTTGAAATCACCACATTCTCTTAGTCCTCGTGATTCTTAGCTGCCTTTTGTCTGTATCTTACCCAACTAACACGGTGGAGCTGCGGCTTTCAGACTTGAGTTTTTTAATCTAAACTTTTTTCCAACTAGTCGGCTAAAAAGAAAACGAAAACGGATAAGTGTAAAATAATTTAACATCAAATAATTGTAAAAAATCTAGTTTCTATTTTTTCTTTAACACAAAATATAGTTTTCAAAAGGATATCTTGTCATGTACCTAAAATTTGTGTTAATCTAGATATGGTTGTAAATTTGTAATATAATAACCAAACTCTAAAATTACTACTGGTTTACTAGCTATCTATATATAGTGTGTGTGTGTGTTTTGAGCTATTTTGAAACCAGATGAATGTATTACTTAATTTGTAATAAAATGTTACATCATTTGGAAAATATTGTTATCTCTCTTACAACAAAATAATGATACTTTTATCACCCACGAGGACCACGACACATGTACATTATTTGTTTTGTCCTATTAAACAAAAAGGCTTTCGAATGAAGATATTATTCTATATATTCTACGTATTCTTATCTTCTGAGATATTATATATATATAACCTGATTCAAAAAAAAAAAAAATCTTAACTAAATTAATGTATTTGATAGCCTCATATAATTGAATCGGTTTACGATTATTATTAAGTTGGGGCAGGTGTAATTATTTTATACAAATGAAATCAAATCGTTTTATCCGCCTGTGTCTTATTTTATAGAAATAAATTGAGAGTGTGTCATACATAAAGAACCACTTGGAGTGAATTAGATATTAAAAAACAAAAAAAAACCAAAAATATGAGCTCAATCTTCAAGCTCAACGATCTGGAGGAGTTAACTTTGAATGCAGAGCAGATACAAGATGATTTATTGAAGGAGATACTCACACTTAACAACAACACAGAATATCTCCGACGGTTTCTCCATGGAAGCTCTGATAAACAACTGTTCAAGAAAAACGTACCATTGGTGAGTTATGAAGATGTGAATCCTTATATCGAACGTGTCGCTAATGGAGAGCCTTCCGATGTGATTTCGGGTGGACCTATTACTAGATTCCTCCGAAGGTAACACACTTTATAGTCTGTATATATCATCATGCTTAAGGGATCAATTAAGTTTATATTTGAAGGTCATATATATACATATATATATAGTTTCTTGCTATATATGACTGATCTACAGCTAAAATGATTGTGGTAGCTCCGGAACTTCAGGAGGGAAACAAAAGATCTTTCCTGTGAACGATCTGTTCATTGAGCAGTTGGGAAATGTTTTTGCTCTACGCTCTCGCGTTATGTCCAAGTAATTTACTTCTTTAACTGTTCATTCACAGAATTATAAGTTTATAACTAGATTATACATTCCCATTGGTTTTATTTGGATCTCTATTGAAGAATGTCATATGAAAAAACAAATAGAAAAGATAGTATGAAAAATCTTACTAGTAGATTCTTATTTTCCTATCTATAAAAGATCGATCTCGTTCTTGTTTATAGGCATTTCGGTGACAACCGTGCCGAGCAAGGAAAGACAATGGAGTTTCATTACACTAAACCGGAATCAACAACTTCCTCTGGTTTACCAGTTGCTGCAGCGTTTACAAGTTTTTTCAAGAGCGATTATTTCAAAAACCGGCCAACTAAATCTCAGTCCGAGTACACAAGCCCCGACCAAGTCATATTGTGTGCAGACAACAAGCAAAGTTTGTACTGTCATCTTCTATGCGGACTCTCCCAAAGAGACGAGGTTGTGAAAATTGGTGCTACTTTTGCTCACGCCTTGGTCCGAGCAATCGATTTTCTTGAAAGCAACTGGAAAGAGCTGTGTAGTAATATCCGGTTAGGTCATGTCAGCGAGTGGATCACCGACATTAACTGCAGAAGCTCTGTTTCGGTCATCATCGGTCGACCTAATCCAGAGCTGGCTGATCTGATTGAACAAGAATGTAGCCAAAAGTCATGGGAAGGTATAATCACAAGGCTTTGGCCTAAAGCCAAATGTATTCAATGCGTTCTTACAGGACAAATGGCTCAATACATTCCAATATTGGAGTTTTATTCAAACAAACTTCCTCTAGTTTCCACAGTTTATGGGTGTTCTGAAGGTATATTTGGGTTGAACGTGAATCCTCTTTGCAAACCACAAGATGTGTCCTACATATTTGTGCCCAACACTTCCTACTTCGAGTTCTTACCTGTCGATCGCCAGGGAGACAGCATGAGCAGCATTGTCGATCTCGTGGACGTCAAGTTAGGGTGCTACTATGAACCTGTGGTCACTACTTATTTCGGTCTAACCAGATGTGTGGTTGGAGATATCTTACAGGTGTCTGGATTTTACAATAACACACCTCAATTTAGATTCGTACGCAGAAAGAACACGGTTCTAAGCGTGGAAACGGAGACCACAACAGAAGAGGACATACTAAAGGCGTTGGCTCATGCGACTTCGGTTCTTGAGTCGTCAAGTTTGATGTTGATGGAGTTCACATGCTATGCTGATATCTCAACTTTTCCAGGTCACTACGTTTTCTACTGGGAGCTCAAAGGGAAAGACGTTGTTGGGCTTGATGAGAAAGTATTGGTGGAGTGTTGCTCTGTGTTAGAGGAATCGTTTGTTTCTGCTTATAAAATCAAGAGAAGAACTGGATTAATTGGGGCTTTAGAGATAAAGGTTGTGCAGCAAGGAACATTCGATTCTCTCATGGAATATTTCATCTCCCGAGGTGGTTCGATGGCTCAATACAAGACACCCATTTGCATCAACTCTCCTGAAGCCTTAGCGGTTCTTGAAAACAAGGTTCTTGCTCGATTCTACAGTGAAAGATCTCCACCTCTCGACTCATAGTTCTTTAGTTCACTTGATCTTCAAGTCAAGTTATACTTTGTGGTTTTTTTTTAAACTTTTCGATTTCTGTTTGGTTTTATGTCGCTTTCCCTTTTTCTAACATAAAACATATCTGCTCCATCAATGCTGTTTTACAAGTGATACGTGTAACTGGTGGTGCCAAGAGGCAAGAGTTGATTTCAATTACAGAGTACGTTATGTATTATGTAATACCGATACGTATGAGCCACGTCACAGGCATGTGGTGTCACACAAGTTAAAACAAGGAAAAGGGTTCATGTATAAAGATTTGAAAGCAAGATCTGTACTTGTGGACTAGGACAGGTTTCTCTCGCGCATCAAAGATTCAATCTTTTCGACATCATCGGGTGTATCAACTCCATGCGCTTCATGGTCCACCTTTATAACCTGTGACAAACCAACATTTTAAACCTTAGTGCCTTGTGGGTTACTACTTCTCTCTTATATTCTCTAAGCGAAGGCTTAATTCTTTTCTTCCTTTAGATGCTTTTAGGAGAAATGCTTGTGTTACCTTCATCTTGTAGCCATTCTCAAGGACTTTGAGCTGCTCTAGATCCTCTTCTAGCTGCAATGGCGTTGGCTGAAGCTCCGAATATACTTTCAGAAACTTCGAATCAAAGCTCTGGTCAAACAAAACCAAGATTTAGATCATAATAGACAAAAAAAAAAGTGAAGTACTTATAGAATCAAAGAAACTGGCTGCTCAGTACCTGGATTCCAAGATGGAGCATGTAGGGGAAATCCGGATTGACTTTACCGCTCCTAAACCGCAGAAAACATAAGCGATCCGGATTACATAAAGAATAATTTACGCGTATATTAATAAGATATAATTCGTTTTACCAATACACATCATAAGATATTAGAAATTACTTGTTATAAGGAATCAAACCCCTCGAGAAATAGATAGCATAGCCACGGTTGTCCACCACACATTTGACTCGGTTCGGATCAAGCCCGTCTTCTGGTTTCAACGATGTCACCGCTGTGCTAAACACTGCATCAGGTGCTACCTACAAATATCACACAACCATGGGAACACTATTCAATAGCCAACTAATATATGTTCCCAAGATGCTAACATAAATCCCAAGTTAAGCATTTTTTACGATACCTGAAGTGCTTTGACTACACCGTCTATAATCTCAGGCTCAATAAGTGGTTCATCTCCTTGGATGTTAACAACCACATCATACTTCTTCTCCAGCTTTTCTAGTGCTTCGTTGCAACGTTCTGTGCCTACGCATCAACCAAATGATACAGAGCTTAGTCCGGAAAAAAAACCACATTCCAATAGAAAAACAAACGAGATCAGTGGATAGAAGAAAAGTGTGTATAGACCATTTCTGCAAGACTCTGAAGTCATGATGACATCTGCACCAAATCCTCGACAGCAATCCGCGATCCTTTCATCATCCGTGGCTACAACTGTTAAGTTAAACAAAATTTACAATAAATCAGACTTCTTGTAATCTCAACAATCACAAGTTAACGAAACAGATTCAAAAACGACGACATTAAAGGAAGCTTCCAACCTAAAGCATGGCAATAATGAATTTCAAGCAAGGTAACAACATCAAAGAAGAGATCTCAGATCCATAAAGTACACAGCTTTTTAATGCATATATCCAGAAAGAGTAGAGATTCTGAGCTACATTACCAACGTGATCCAGCGTAGCGGCTAATTTCGATCTCTCCCAAGTCCTCTGTTCAAGAACATATCAACAAATGTGAAAAAGTCAAAAACTGAAGCAAGACACTTACTAACATGAGCAACTTATCAGCATCAACGTTGCATATATGAAGGCGTAAAATTTGGAAAAAAAAAGGGAAATACTTTATATCGAAAAACATGATTACTCAAGGTAACTTGAATGTATGATTACTCAAGGATGAAATTCGAAAAATAAAGTATGAAATCTACAGAAAATTGGGGGAATTTTGCGCCTTTTAAGAAAGAAACTAGGCCAGATCCGATACTGAGATTTGCACATATTGTAGACAGAGATCGTGAGAAAGAAAAACGAAGGAGGAACCTGGATCATGGGTTTGCCGAGGATTTGCACGAGAGGCTTACCCTCGAATCGAGAGGAAGCGTAACGGGCGGGGATGATTCCGACGACCCGGCTCCGGAATTTCCTGGATCGACCCAGATACGCTCTTGCGCCAATCGCCGCAGCAATCGCGGTTCCGGCCACGATCCCGTGTACGATCCATGTTTTCTGAGAAGACGAAGACGATGACGATGATGAACACATTGCCATTAATTAACGTCTCCACTTTTTGCGCCGGCGAGAGTGTGAGAGAGAGTGATGCAGAGAGAGAGAGGATTCTGTTTAAAAGCGGTGGCTTTAGCCAGCGAGAAAAGGATCGGTCTGGTTCGGTTTAATCAGACTTGATCAATTCCAACGAAGGTCAACTTGGTAAACAACTTCTTTTTCTTTTGTCCCAAATAACTCAGTCTAAATTAAACCGAACCAGACCGATCGATTTAATTTGGTGACCAATTTTAGTAGACTTTTTTTTTAATTATCTAATAAATCATTTGAAATTGGAAATATTTCAGATACACAATTAGAGATTCATCATTTTTATAATGGAACTATATCACCTTTTCTTGTGAAATGACAATTTGTTTTTCAAATCACCAAAGAGAGAGTTTGAAACAATCCAAATTAAATAATTTATTAGTTGTAGTTCATGCAAATAACAGATCAGATTTCTAAGTCAATGAACTAGTGCTGTTATCTTTCTAACTGGTTGGGATATAAATACATACATCACAAAATCATAATAAGATATGAATTTGAAACCAAAACCCTAAACTTAGAAATCCACACAAATCCCCTCTGACTTATCCTAAACAACAAAAATCTAGAATTCTTGACTAAATATAAAGCTGTTTAAATCTTTGTGTTGTCACCGAAAGTCATCATTCTGAACAAAAACCTGAAACATAAAATCATGAGCTCAGAAGAAGATTTGTTAAGTTTCATCACCGTGCTCGGCCTCGCCGTATTCATCGGTCTCTGCATCTTGCTCGTTGTTCTTATAGCAACCTCAGCGATCATCCTTGTGATCTACGCTATAATCGACTGCATTCTCCGACCATTCTTAGGCACATGTCTCGACCTAGATATCGAAATCGGAGTCCAAAGAGGCCAGCAACGCGCTAGAATCGTGACTTACCAAGCAATCATCCCGACCGATCTTAGATTATTACCGAATTCGGAGAGAGAGGAGAAAAGAAAACGAGGGTTGAAACAAAGCGCGATCGAAACCCTACTCCCGAAGTTACTTGTTGGACAAGGCAACAACCACGAGGACGAAGAGAGATCGAGAGAATGCGCGATTTGCCTCAGTGGTTATGTCGTAAATGAAGAATGCAGAGTATTTCCGGTTTGCAGACATATGTATCACGCGCTTTGCATTGACACTTGGCTTAAGAATCATCTCACATGTCCTACTTGCCGTAATGATTTGCCAGATTCATGACAAATTTACAATTCCTTGCTTCGTTCGTCGTAGACTGTACATAGAGATACTTTGTCTCTTCTTCAATAGATCTCTAAACTGAAACCGTTTTGCTAATTTTAACTCACACTGATTGATCATCTTCTACTTGCTATGCAAATGGCGAGTTTAGTCAGATACAGAGCATAAATGTTCCGTAAAATACAGAGGAAAGATACAAATCTCACCTATAATTCGGTTTAATAAACCGGGAAAGCTTCCGAGTAAACCGGGAATTTTACGAGGTTCATAAGTTCTTATGGAGCAATTTCGCAGCCAATTATGGATTTTTTTGTTGGTTTCGATACGAATTCTCTCTGATTTGAAATTTTTCTTGTAACTTAGTAATTGATCAGAACTGATCTAAAACCTCAATAATATAAACCACTTGTCCATAAAGCGAAGATAGAAAAGAAAAGAAAAAAACCAGACTTAAACTAGGCTATGTTAGATTCCTCTCTACTCACCAAATCTGGTTTCTCGAGTCATCAACATCATCTTCAGCTTGACGATCACTTTTGATTGGTCGTTGCGACTCAATCCTGCTGGAAAACGCAGCGTCCGATATTTACGAGAAATTCTTTGATGCTACCTCCATAAAAACAAAAACGAGAATTATCATGAAAACAATACAAAACAACCTGTTGACCAAGAAGAAAAACAAAATTTAAAATCTAAAAGTAATCATTACAAATGGCTTAACAAAAAAAAGTCATAAGATTTAATAAAGTAAAAATTTACATATGAGAATTACTTTTCAATTTCTCAACAATCGTAAGTTTAATTATCATAAAATTATATAAAGGTTAATTACCTTAAAATTGATTTACCTATATATATAGACTGAGAAAGTCATAAAATTTCATAAACTAAAAATGTACATATGAGAATGACTTCTCAGTTTCTCAACAATCATAAGAAGATTAATTATCATAACTAGTTAGAAATTTGGGGTAAACCAAAAAAAAAGAGACTTAATTATTCACTCTAATCCTGACATGATTAAAAAACATGAAACAATGGTGGATTTGGCTCACCTCGATGATCTGCTTCTCTTACGACTTGCTTTACTACCCTCTGCGACAGCATTGGTCTCAGGCGGTGGTTTTAGCATCTCTTCAAGCTCCTTGACTCCTAACTTAACGAATTCCTCCACCACTGGCTTCAGAAAGCTAACCACATCCGTCCTAAACTTCTTGGATCCGCTCTCGCTCGTTTCTTCAATGTCTTGGACACCTTTCACCATCGATCCGACAGGAGCTCCGTCTCTATAAGCATTGCCCGCTTTCACTATGTCGTGAGCCCGCACAAAGTAATGGCTACGAACAAACTCTTCAAAGGGCTGCTCATTCATCACATCACAACAACAACATTTCATGGAAAACAAAAGGTTTCAGCTTTTTTCTGTCTGTAGACGAATGAAAATATGGATTAGTGATAAGATGACTTGATTATTACCTTGGGTGGATTTCTCATGCTGTAAACCATCGTCTTTAACGACAACAAGAAGACGTTCTCACTGTAAGCTTTAGAATGAGACTCGCCTGATTTAGTCCCCTTGAACCGCACGTAGCCTGGTTCGTTGAAGTATGGCTTCTGGTTCAAGATGAGTGCTTGGATTGAGACAAGAACCTGTAACATTGTGGACTCCTTTGGGAGCCAGTTCTCCCTCGCGTTACCAGTCCATGTACCGAGAAGACTCAAGCATACTTTACCACAATTGTACAGATTCGGGTTGATTCTAAGCCCACCCGCATGGTAATGAACTTTCTGTCAGCAACAAATCAAAATTTCCCGAGTCATTAAGGAGGAAGAAAAAAAACAGAACACATACATTGAGAAAGCTCCTGAGTACGTACCGGTGGGACTGAAGGATAATTATCTGGGAACTGGATGTCGAAAAAGAAAAGACCGTCATGGTAAGGAGTTCCCTCGGCTCCAATAATCACAGCTCTCAAAAGATCCATTCTTGATTCACAGACTCTAACAAATATCGTCTCTGTTTGCACACAAACAAAAGAGAGAAATTCAAGAACAAATAAGGAGAAAAATAAAAATGTTGCAAGCATTGATCTACATTAGTTTATACACAAACCTGGCAAATCATTCTCAAGAATCTGCCAATCTGCTTGAACTTTTTTCACCCAAGTCTTTGAGTGCTGATAACATAAAAGAGAGAGAGAGAGTATGTTTGAATATCAAAGAAAGATTATAAAGAAAACAACCACGGAGATAATAAATGTATCATCATCATCATCACCTGCTTTGAAGTTTTCCCCTTGGAAGCATAGTGATGATCTGGGAAATCGTCAACAGTGTCAAACCTTTTAAAGCCCTTCAGAAAATTAACCTGAGCTGAAGATACAACAGCTTCAGCCGCCGCTACAGGGCGAGAGGAGCTCGCAGAAGCATCATATCTAAAAGGTCTTGAAGGAGGACACGGCACCATCACTATGTTAGTAGGAGTCTGAGGTTGAACCACAGAGGCGGAAAACGTCGCAGAAGGATACATGTTCTGACTGTTCTCAGGGACAGCCAAACCGGAGAAAAAATCCCACGACTGAGCAGGAGCTGCCGCCATAGAAGTAGTGTTCCAGTCAGGTTTCGTCGGCTGGTTTCCGAAGCTGCTGCTTCTGCTTGACTTCGCGGTTCCTTTGCTGCTCGAGTTCGAACCCCAAGGTTGACTAGACATCAGCACTTCTACATCAGTCGGGGCGTTCGTAGACTCTAGAACGGCATGAAACATCGAGAGGTCGTCAATCTCAATCACATCATTAGCCAAATGTTTATAATAGCCATCAACACTGAATGGGTTGTGGTCATTCACAGGGCTCACTTGAACAGCCTTCCCTTTGTTCTTCTTATTGACAGCATTGTTGCGGAACTCATATTGCTCGACATCAATCACTTCAGGAAGTCCGACCTACAAACAAAGATAAAGCAGCAAACTTTACAATCAAGTAGGACTGAAACAGAGAAACATGAGAAATTCCCCCAAAACATAAACACAAAATCTATATTTCACTCAGGAAACAGTAAGAACACAATCAACACGACGAATATGATTCATCAGGAACGGATAAAAGAAACCCCATCAATTCAACAGCAAAGAGAAACAGTGAAAGCATAGTAAACGTGAGGAAAACAAAACAGAACAAAACTCAAGATTAGACCAAAACCCTAAATCAAAGCAAAACCCTAAACACCGAAAGTCTCCCACTTTGATGATCATCACGCATCAACGATGCCCTAGAAGAGCAAAAGTTCACCTTTTTTCAGGTAAATCAGTGAAATTGAGCACAGTAAAACAGATTTAGCTTCAGGAAAACACATGTAAACTGCAGAAAGGAGCAAAAGACCGAACCTTTCTGGGTTTTCGAGTTCTCGAACCCGAAACGATCGGAGGAGGAGCGATCTCCACCACGTCGGGCTCCATTGACGAATTTCCCAAAGATTGATTCTTTCTGTTTCACAACTGAAGCAAACAAATAAAAAAAAAAAGGCAGAAAGATTTTTCCTCGGGATTATAGGGGAAAAGGGTATTAAAGAAATAATTCTGGGACTCTTCACATTCGCGCCGTAGTATATATACACCCAAACAGTGAGATTTCTCAATCGCTTTGAAACACTTTTTTTAAAACAAAAAAAAGTTCTCCAATTCCTTTTTAAATCTTTTAATTACTTTTTTTTTTAATTATGAATTTCCAGTTTTGGGTTTATGTTTTAAGTCAATCAAAGACTCAAAGAGTGGTCTTCTAACGATGGACCCCACTAATCGAACAATTATTTTCCGTATTTTGCTGACGTGGCAAAATCGAACGGCTGGGAGAAACTTTACTGATTTCTCCCCGATATTAACAGAGCCATACATAGCAAATCAAAGGGAAAGATAAGATAATCTTGAACAAGATTACACAAGATTACACCAAAACAAAAGTAAATAAACAATTAATTATTTTTTATGATAAAATAGATATATATATATATATATAAATACGGAAGTTGTGACTTTGACCCTAAATAATAAATATAAAAATATGGAAGTTGGATATATTGTGTGATACGTATAACATTTTTGGTTTGCTCTGTTATTATTACATGACACTTGTGTTGTGAAAATTCACAAACAAAAAAAAAAAAACAATCTAGTATGTCACTAATCACTTCCTCTGGAGCCACCACTCCATGAACATCTCTTCTATAAACAGTCTCAAACTTTAAAACCCTCGGATCTAAGACACATAAGATGAGCTTCGATCCATTTCGTGCAAGCTGATTCACCGTGTTCTACAATGCACTCATCTCTTAGCTTCTTAGTATCAGGACAAGCACAACATATCCTCTTCTTTGGTTTTGTCTCAGTCACAGCCACATCTTTGCTTGGCTGGCTCAAGGAACACGCACTGCCTTGTCCTAGTAAATCACTCATCCTATAAAAACCATATTCTCAAACTGTTACGCCTACAGAAACTCGAAACCGCATACGAAACATTAACCTCAAAGCGCAACAACAAATTAGAAACAAGGTAACATCGGTAAACATCTATACACAAATATAAACATGAAAAACAGCTAAGCATTTGTATTTCAGTAGCAAAGCCAAAAGAGTGATAATCCTTTAAATCTTCTTCTTTCTTTTAAAGTTAAAACATCACACAATCATTTATCAAACACAGATAAATCCATCCATATAGTAAATGCTCTCCCAAGTTAGACATATACATTGGTATATCAGGCATAATGCAAAAGAGTGAACAATCAATCTTTGAATCTAAATAATAAGGCAAGATCAGTTACCTTATTTGGTTCTTGAAAACCAAACCGAGATTTAGCTTGAATAGTGTTTGATTATATATGAATCTGCTAAAAAACATTGATTTGAAACCTCTAACTCTAATCACCAAACACGACAACGGCTTTTTCGGGTGATTGAATAATTCAGAATCTGAAAAGTGTGTGTAGTTACTGATTTTTCCTCCGCAAAATTGATAATCAAATCAGGAAAAACCCTAAAAGCAATTACTCGGAGCTTAAACCCAAAACCTCAAATATACAAAATCTCATCCCACAAATTAATGCAATTTCAAATACCCAATTTAACAACTTTCCAATCCGATCGAGCGAGCAAGCAGGCAAACAAACAATCAAAGAAAAGAATCAACACACACAATTCATTCGCGCCATCATATGATCCTAAGATTGGAAATTATTGAGAGCGAAGCTGATTAAACTTTAAAGATTAACGAAAGAACTGACCCTTTGATCGGCTTGAAAGAGGAAGAATAGTCAAGAAACGGAGAACCAGCGAGGATTCTTGTGAAAAAGAAAACGCTAAAAAGGAAGAAGACGGGAGAAATGCGAAAAAGTCTTTACCAAACCAAACAAAAATATTCGATTGCTTGTAACTAATGGGCCGTAATGGGCTACACCAGCCCATATATAAACGTGTGATGATAGATCAATGGATCATAGATGCTTTCAGTTTCCTTGCTCTTTACAAAATCTGAAGATGAAAATCTTTTTGCTTAGCCCACAAGTTATAGGAAATAATTCCCAAAATAAGGATGTTGGGGAAATTCGTGATTAGTATTCAAGTGTTAATTGGGAAAGATAAAGACAAAAGACGCAGCTAAGGATGATGACAAGGAGCGAGAATGTGGTGATTGTTAATAATAAAGAATTTGACTCGCAGGAAGCATCAAGCTTCGAAGAAGTGAATATATAAAATGTCTTGAAGAATACATGGTTGCATGTCTGCATGATTAACTAATAATGCAAACGATGGACGCTTATAAAACCAGAGTAGAGAGCGGTTTTGTTCTGATCAACACTTGAAAGGAGGTGATAGATTCATAGAGAGATCAGAAAGTAACTAATGATGGAGAAAATTAGGGTTATGTACCGTTTAGCAACGATAACGTGTTTGGTGTGCTTAGGGTTTAGTGTTGGGATGTGTTCAGACTCAGATTCCAGCTTGATCAAGACTTACGTGTCATCATCACTACCGTCAAACGATCACTTTGTCAGTTCCGCCAAGCCTAAGGGTAACTTAACCAAATAAACAAATTTCAATTTTCATTTGCTTTAGTTTATACTCTTGCATTGATTTTGATTTATACCCCCTTCACCTTTCTGATGTACGTACGTAGTTAACAAGATCTCTGGATCGGAACTTGTTTGTGATCGTATGATTTTCATTTGCTTTAGTTTATAACCAAATAAAATTTAAATGTTTTTTTTTGTGGAATCGTCGGGCAAGGACAGTGTCACGGACTGATAAATTGTCTCATCCCCTAGTGAAACAATCTCAATCAGGTCAAACTCATTCGCACAATCAAATCATATGGTCCTTCAAAAATCGATTATTTATCGCTAATGGGCCGAAAATGGGCTACAACAGGCCCGTAACCATATATTTACGAGAAATTGAGTTATATAACTATATAAAACTGAAAAATAGACAAAATAATCATAAAAATCAATGGCTATAATATTTTATATATATTTTACAATATATACAAAACTATTCCTCTTCTATTTTTTTTTTTTTTTTTTTTGTTCTTCCCTCCTTTCTTTTATTTTCTCTTTCCGTTTATTCATCTTCCCTCATTTTTATCCATTCTCTTTCCCCTCTGTCTTCTCCTCTACCCTTCCTCGTCTCTTTCTATTTTCTCCTCTCTTCTATATAATTCATAAAAAATAAATATTTTATATATAATATAGTATGGTAATATAAATCGATATAGTATACTATAATTATGTATTTATAAATTTTGTTTGAAGGGCAAAATAGATAAATTTTAAGATTTTTGGTTATTGAATCAATTATGAAATTAGTATGGTTATATACTATATTTTATAGTATAATATGGTTATTTCACAAATTAACTCTATATTTACCTCTCTCTCTCTTTTTTTTTCCACAAATTGGCCACAGGGGATACACAACTTGTGACAAGAATGTATGTAATTTTCAGTTTTTTTTTCACAATTTATTAATCAAAAAAGAAGAACCTCAGATTCTCCTCTCCTTTCACAATGAGTTTGGATGGATTCAGCAAAATATATAGGATCTACATAGAAAAGAACATTTAAAACTAAAACACAAAGAACCTGTCGTTTTATAATCCTTGATCTTCTGAATATATGAATCCAAACTAATTAATTGTTTGATCTGATCTGGTCTGAATTGTGTGATTGATGCATTCAGTTTCCTCTTTACCAAATCTGAAGATGTAATCCTTTTGCTTAGCCCACAAGTTAAAAACCCAAAAAAATTCAGATACATACATCGATTTAATCATACTTCTCTCTCCATGAATAAACAAGAAAGAAAACCCAAGAGATCCCCAAAGCTATGTCTCCGAGAGCTTGCTTAGGCCATTCATAAGCAAGATCTTCGATTTTCCACTCGAACAAAACCCTCCAAGAAGCCATTAGCACATAGAGAATCACAGAGCCTCCAGCGAAGAAGCTATGAAACTCTCTGTCTTTAACGAAAGACACCATGAACAGTACCAAACCAATCGCAAAGAGAAGCAAACCAGAGAATGACTGAGAAATCTGTATGAGTAGCTCATCGTGCGGCGTTGATCCTTTCAGTTTGCTCGCAATCTCACTTCCTGGTCCAAAGATGGAAGCTTTCTCTGTGTAGAACATCATTAGGGTTCCACTAGTTAGAGCGATTATCGAATGGAGTATACAGATTACACGAAACAGAGATGGATTCGTCGAAATTGCTGTAGTCATTGAAGCTTTTTGACTGAATATGAAAAAAAAAAGTTTTTTTTTTCTTGATGGGTTTCTCAAAGTGATCAGAGCTTTCACAAAAAACAGCTGGAGAGAAACGAATCAAAAGTTGAAAACCCAGATGAAAAAATAAGATCTTTAGAAAGAAAAAAGGCAAGATTTTTTTGTCACGGGTTTATTGGGGAGATATTCAGATTATATGGTTTTGGCTTGTTTAGTAAATCAATGAAGAAACCATGGAGGAAAGGTATGGAGTTAGCTTTTGGGAAGAGAGATGATCTGGTTTAGGGATTTGGACTTTGATAGATTCCATGATTTTGATTTCTTTGGTATTTATTATTATAAACTCGAAATTTTTTATAAGGTTTTTGGTTTGATGTGGGGTCACTCTTTGGACAATTTCATTTCTTTTTCTTCTAGAAAAGCTAGACAGTTTCTAATACCCACGTCCGAACTAAATTATTATTAGATTAAAATCGGAAATTACATTTTCATTCATAAAAAGAGAAAAAGATTGGATTTCAATTTTATAATATTCTTTTTTTTTTCTAAATTTGAGGTGGAGAAATAATTGAAAGATTCTAGGCAAAATTACAAAAGAAGAATAATTGAAAGTTATAAATCTCTGTGGGGTCGAAGAAGGCATAGGCATGGACTTGGTTTGTTGAGCTATATGATATAATATATAATATTTGATTGTAGATTTTTGATTTGGACTTTTGTAATATCTTCTCTTTTTATTGCAAGATATTTTCCTGCGTCGACATTACTGTCTGCATCAATGAGAAAATTAATCAATATCTAATGGAATTCTTTTTTTGCTTCTTTTATGAGTGAATGTAAAAATGAGAAAACACAATAGATATACATAAGAAAAGTATTGGGTATTGGAAAGTGTATTCAAACATAGTACTAATTTTTTTAGACATAGTTGATGAAATTATTTAATTAAAGTAAAGCAGGTAAAATGTTACATAAATACCGCATTAAAGACTATCAGTTACTCTAATCAAAAGTTGATTAATGCCAAGTGGAACAGACTCCATGAGTACTAGTACTACATTGGCCCCACTTCGACGCTACTATCCATAGCCGACAAAACAATTATCCACCGGTTCGAATTCGGTTAAAGTTCATACCGGTTTTAATTTCGGTTAGCGGTTCTGCGTTTCTAGTTCTATAATGCATTAACGCTGACTGAATCCATCAAAGAAATCACAAATTTGCTTCGGCTAACATATAAAGAAACCATAACAATGGTTAAAAAAATTAATATAAAATTGGCCAAAAAAATTATCAGTTAATTTAGTTAAGACGGCAAAATTTCATAACCACCTTCTGGATCACGAGATTGGTTTCTTCTAACTACTTCAACTGTAATATTTAAAGTAAGAAGAAAAAATTGCATTAAAAATAAAAAAATCTTACAAAAGAAATGTAGAGAAAACTCTATCTCATGTTTCTGCCACCGGCTGAAACTTTCCGGTGACGCCTTCTCCCACGTTGTCCCGGAATCTTCTTCCCCATGTTGGCTCTACCACCGACAAATTTTCCACGTGGCAAAGGCAGTGGCTCGGGAAGAACCTTAGAAGAAGCTCGAGGAGGTTTCATGTTCATCAAAATGTCTCTATGATAAACCTTTGCCATCAAGAAAATAAAAAAAGTCTCAGTTTTTTCACAAATCAAACCGAAATAAACTGTATAATTTCTTATTCTGCGTTTACCTGTTTCACAAAGTTGCGTCTTTCACAGTCCAAGAACATATTGATGTTCCAATCTACTTTCTCTCTTATCTTGTCTCTTGCAATCGCAAAGCTTAGTTGATCTCTAGAAGTAAACCGATCCACTTCATTGAACCAAACACAAGTGAAAAGGTTCGTGATCGGTATGTGTTCTCTTATGATGGTACATCCTTCAGGAACATCTGCCCAAACGATTCAAAAACACTCAGATTCAGCTCAAAAGACAGACGAAAATGGAAGCTTCTTATCATTCTCATATGCTTACAAAACCATTACCACTTGGTATCGGAAGCTTAGCCTCGGTGTAAGGTGTTAAACCTTCCTTCTTGTAGAACTCTATTTGGTAATCAATCGAGGCATTGTCGTATTTTCCAGCGGCTTTATTCGCTTCAGCCTCTACATACACATCAAAACGTCTGTAATGTATTGAGATTGCGAAACTCGAATTCGTTCTCCACAAGAACCTGAAACATTGAGAAGACAAATATAAAGCTTTCTGCTTTGGCCTCAACAAACAATTTCAAAAGAGAGAGAGAAGTCAGACTTTATACCTTTCAAGTATTTGATATGGATCTACAACAAGCTGGAGCTTTGCATCAACCCATATAGAGTACCGGACATTTGGGAATAACCTATGCAAAAGAAGCTTCGGAATCTGTAAAAACGCATAAACGTTTTAGACAATTCGTATTTGTTACATAGAGAAACTATCAAATGTTGGCTATGTATGTACTCAAACCTTTCCATTACGCCTTGCATCGGTGTAAGGAACATTATGCACAACAATGATCCTCCACAATCCAACTCTCTTGTTATCGTCTGTATAACTCGAAGTGTTCTTAAGATATAAATCCGTTTCTTCGTCAACAAACATGTAGAAAGGGATGTTCTTCCTCGCCATTTCACTGATGTTCACCGGTTCTTGAATTATATCATACTTTCCTGACAAAAAAAAAAAGGATTGAAATTTTATGAGATGTAAGAATATCTAAACAAAAACATGTCACACTGACGATATCTTTTCCACGAAAAATACCAAATATCGCTGAAGCAACGATCACATCATGGAACTGGTCTAACTCAGGAAGGATCTCCTCATCGATGTCAAATCCAGTTTGATGTCCCGGTTTCGTTCCTTTGACAAATCTGCCGAATTACAAGAAACAGGAATCAGAAGAGTAAAGCTCCATGGCTATTGGCTGGAGAAGAAAACCACAGAGTTGAGCTTAGAAGCTAACCCGCAATGCAATGCCATGGACTCTTTTATGTCAAAAGAGTTAGTTCTATGCTCAAGCGAAGGATAACCTCCAAATTCAGAGCCTCCTTGACTATTTTCAAGCTTTACAGGACTCTCTTCACGGATATATGTCAAATTCTTGAGAACAGGAGATTCAAACGGAAGCTTTGGCATATGCGCTAAGGCCTCTTCTGGAGATAGATAGCATACCGGACACGCTGAACAAAACGGAGAAGGTGAATGAAAGTTCCTGTAGGAGCAGAGACAAGTAATATATCAAAGAAAGAGCTTACGGCGTGGTCCAGGCCTTCTGAGTCCAGGTGGAGGAGGAGGAGGAAATGCAAAACTATCACAAGGATGGCGCCAAGAGAGTGATGGAGGAGGATGGATGATGCCTACGTCACTTCCTCCAACGCCATTCCACATAAACGAATCTCCAACGTGATCATTAGTAGAGGTCCCAGTATAGAAAGAAGTCAATTCTCTAGTTATCGGAGTTTGGTTGCTTCCAAAACCCATCGTCTCAATACTCTGATGAATGTTTGGACTATTGCTCTCTGTTGTAGCAAGTTCAAAAAGCATATCTTACTCTTTTTTTTCCAACAGATTCTGACGAACTACTCAAAAACTAGTTGTAAGTTGATTGAGAGATGTACCTTTGTTGATAGTGTAGGAGCCCAATACAAAGACAACAAACGCAAGGCTGAGAAGGAGCAGCATTGCGACTCGTCTTCGGCCTAAGTACCAGCAACATAACAAGGAGAGAGACCTTTCCTTCTCTTTGGAATTCGAAGTGAGCATTGTGGAAGAAGAAGAAGAAGAAGAAGAAGACACAGACTCAAAAGCTCAAGACTTTGTTTAGTGCAATGAGCCATAACTCTCGGTGACGAAGCCTAAATGACATTCCAGTCATTGTCTCTTAAACCCTCTAGATCGAATTCTCATATCGAAAACCCCAACAAATGTCCCCAGATCTCCCCCACAAAATTTGCAACCTAAGAAACATAAGGCAAAACCATTATATACATTGCAGAAGAAGGTAATCGACTAACAAAAAGCAGAGAAAGCTTTGGAATTTACCAGCACGGAATCGATTTGATTGTGAAATCAATAACAGAGAGCGACAAAGACCTGCATTTGCACCCAAAAGGATAAAACTTTAAAATCACATCTCGATTCAATCGAAAGTTTAACACTCAGGGGGGAAAGTAGCCATCATTGGCGATCGTAAAATTGAAGAGAGCCCACAAATCGATTCAAAGCCCTAAAATCCAAAAAGGGCAAATTTTTGCAAAGAGAGAAGATACCTACGGATTCGATTAAAAAGATATTACCTTTTGAATGAGTACTATGTTCCAAATTCGTCTCTGGATTTACAAAATCAATAAATTGTCTGATGAATGCATCGCTAAAGTTTCACTGATCCCTTCGATCTGCGGTAAACATTCAGTGCTATAATTATTTCAGATTTGTCAATGATTCAGTGCATAAAAACTTTAAAGGGATGATAATTAAAAAAAAATTCCCTAATTTAAGTATTTTATTACAGTGGGGATGTGCTGTGTTAGAGAGTTTAAATATTTATCTACAGATAAGAAAATAACAAAATTTAATTATACCGCCTGATCTGGTAATTATTAATCAACTTATCAGAAATACAAACATTACAAATTATGTCAATGGTTGAGTGTATGAATTTTGATTATGTGTGTGGTACGTATAAATGTGTGATCGTTGTTAAAATTATATGAGCCGTTCTCAGAGAGAATGGGCCCAAATTTGTTGTATTGTCTAAAATGGAGAAGACAAGTCCATTAAATTCGGTTGTATGAGTAATGTTGGATAGACTCTCTTCTCCAATTATTAGACAAACGAACAGATTTCTGATGATGATTGATGAGGATAACAATATGTTGTTAATTGTGTTTCTCAGTCTTTAATACATTTTTTTCAATAATATCAAAGTAATCAGTTTATTACCTATAGTTTTATTTCAAATAAAATACATTATTATTTTGATTATCATCTAAAAAAGTGTTAGTCCTAATTTGTAATGCCAGTAATTTGTATGAAATAATTCACTTTTTATTAATTTTAAATACGATGTAATGTTAAACTATAATTAATTGACCATCCATTACAATTATTGTTTTTATTTTGATAATTGCAAAATTAAATTAGAAAACTGTTTCTGAAGTCAGGTAGACAGAAAGATAGACAAATCACGTGTTGACAAAATTGGTATTATTACTTCATTTAAACAATGACGTACCTATTTAAAATTTCCTATTAAAGTCATTAGTGCAGGGATTATGGAAATAAAAATATATGTTTATATAATGACATTAGAAGTGAAAACGAAAAGACTAACTAACGTCTCTCGTCCGAAGACTACGACGACGACTCTGACGTTTACTTCATTACCCAAGAGAACTTTCAACATTCTCGTTGAATACACGTGCATTACTTTAAATTTGTACTTAAATTTTGATTATACGTACATACAAAATTTTGTATTGTAACTTTTTCGTTTGGTTATTTTTATGTAACAAGTCTCTTTAGCTTTCGAATTTATTAAACTTTATCCATAATTTTATATCAACTTTTGAAAAAATTTATGTAAAATTTTATTTGTTTGATTTATGTTATTAAATTCAATTATATTGTATGTTAATTTTGTTATACTGTATCTTTATTAAAAATTGACTAAAACTGCAATTAAGACTTTGAAATTTTGAAATGTAGTAGATTGAAAAATGAACAAACATTCCAAAAATAGAAAAATAAAAAGAAGTTTTTTTTTTCTATTTGGGTCAATATATGTGTTTAAATATAAGTAAGCAATAACATTCATTTTATCTTCTAAATGAACAAAATTAACAAAACTTCATATGGTAAAATTGTGTGTTTCTATTTTAGATACATCTGACCAAAGGACAAAAAAAGAGAGAAAAGGACATATGAGAGAAAGATTTGATTTAATTAGTTTTCTGATTATAATTTGATTATTTAAAGATTAGAAGTGTTTAAGAGCGCGTGTTTTTGACGGATCAAGAATGTCTTTCGCATGTCCAGCTTCGATTTCAGAAAAATAAAAAAACTGGCAAGAGTTTTTATGTTTTTATTTTTATCGTTTTTTGTCAACAATTTTTTTTTTTTTTTAATCTCCTATATACACAGATGTATGATGGAATTTACTGTTGTTCGGCATATTATAAAGATTTTTTTTTTTACTTTATTAGTATAAGTTATTAATTTCACCAACTATGATAAATTTTAGAAAGTGAATTTTTCTTACCGAATTTATTTAATTATTTAAAAATTCTCTGTTAATGTTTTTTTTTTCTTTTGGAGTTTCCACATTGTGCAAACTTTTAATTCACCTTCTGCATCAACACACATGCGTCTCTCAAAATCTCTCCGCCCTAGATCCATTTTTTCTCTCAAGCAGGCACTGTTAAACCCTTCGATTTCTCCTCGTTTCTCCTTTGTTTTTTTCTTTTCCACGGAAGCTCCATTTTCCTCTACCTTGTTTATAAATTTTCCTGCAAATTTCTCAATTTTACATTTGCTTCTGGTATTTTACTACTCTCTCTCTCTCTCTCTCTCCACAATCTCTTGAAAAGGTACTTGCTTTATGCAGATAAGTTCTTGGTTCTTGAGAAATCCTGGGTTTTTTTGTTGTTGTCCACTTGAATTATTAATGCCTGAAACCTTCTTCTTGATCTGGGCGCATTTTGCAAATTGAGGGGAAAAAAAAAATCATTTCTCGTTCTGGGTTACAGTGTTCTAGGGTTCATTAATTTCGTTTACCCCTTTTTGTCTGGTTTCTGAAAGTCTCGGACTTTTCTTGTTAATAGTGTAGTTCTGCTCTTTATATGGTCCACTTGATAAGCTGCGAGTAGTGGAAACAAGATGGGTGGATTTTAAAGGAGATTTTTTTTTGTTTCTATTTTGGGTGAAATTAAGCGATGGGTTGTGTTTGGTGTAAGCCTTCTGCTATCGAAGATAGCAAAGATAGTCCAAGAGAGCGTTTCTCAAACAAATCCTCCTCTGAGTTTAGAGTTTCAAGACCTGTTTCTTCTTCAAGAAGAGAAGAGTCTCTTAGGGCAAAGGAACGGCCTGATGTTGTTAGTGTAAGACCAGCGTTGAGTAGTCACAAGCAAGCTAATGTCTCAATGCATCTGCGTGGGGAGAATTTGAGCAGTAGAAGAGAGAAGAAGATAGAGAATGTTGCAACCCCACACCTTACGATGGGTATTACCATAACAAAAGCAGCAGAAGGAGAGTATGTAGCAGCAGGTTGGCCTCCATGGCTGGCTTCTGTAGCTGGAGAAGCTATCAAAGGATGGATTCCACGGCGTGCGGATTCTTTCGAGAAGTTGGACAAAGTAATCTTCTTGATTTTCTCTATCTACTAACATTCGCTTTATTTTGATTCCATGACTTACTTAGATTGGCATGTTTCCTTATTTAGAAACATATCCTAAGCTCTCAGATTTGGGGTTGCAGTAAATGAATACTTTTTGATGTTATGGAAACTAGAATTTCACTTTGACTTGAATGGGTTTTGGACTGTACAGCTGTGAGGAAAGGTCTCTGATACAGCTGTTTTTACTTGCTTTTTTTTTTGGTTTTCAGATTGGTCAGGGTACTTATAGTAATGTATATAGAGCTCGGGACCTGGATCAGAAGAAGATTGTGGCTTTGAAGAAGGTTAGGTTTGATAATTTGGAGCCGGAAAGCGTGCGGTTTATGGCGAGAGAAATCCAGATATTACGCAGGCTTGATCATCCTAATATCATTAAGCTCGAAGGCTTAGTTACTTCAAGAATGTCTTGCAGCTTATATCTTGTTTTCGAGTACATGGAACATGATCTAGCTGGACTAGCCTCGCATCCTGCAATCAAGTTCTCTGAATCACAGGTGCTTTCTTGTTTCCACTCAAAATTTTCGTGACGTAATCACAGGTGCTTTTAGTGCAATTCTCTGAGCCTGTGTTTTCTTTTTTCTTTTGTTCTTGTACAGGTAAAATGTTACCTGCAGCAGCTATTACAAGGACTAGACCATTGTCACAGTCGTGGTGTACTTCATCGGGACATAAAAGGCTCAAACCTTCTGATCGACAATAGCGGAGTTCTAAAGATTGCTGACTTTGGCTTAGCGAGTTTCTTTGATCCTAACCAAACTCAGCCTTTGACCAGCCGCGTGGTTACTCTTTGGTACCGTCCACCCGAGCTTTTGCTCGGAGCAACTCGCTATGGAGCTGCAGTTGATTTGTGGAGCACAGGTTGCATTCTTGCTGAACTATATGCAGGCAAGCCTATTATGCCTGGTAGAACCGAGGTAGGTTTGCAGTTTTCATTTTGCTATGATACCTGTGAGACTAGTTTGATTCCTTTTGATGTGACTTTGGTAATGCTTACAGGTGGAACAGCTGCACAAGATCTTCAAGCTATGTGGCTCGCCTTCCGAGGACTATTGGGTCAAATCCAGGTTGCCGCATGCAACAATTTTCAAGCCTACACAACCTTATAAACGCATAGTGGACGAAACATTCAAGGAGTTTCCTCATGCAGCTTTAGCTCTTCTTGAGACTCTGCTTTCAGTCAATCCGGACGATCGTGGAACCGCCTCCTCTGCTCTCCAGAGTGAGGTAATGGCGTTTCAATGCACTCTGTTCTCATTGCTTATACCTAACTCCTGGTCATTGTTTGTGTAACCTCAATTTATAATTCTTTTATGTGCAGTTCTTTTCCACTAGACCTCTTCCATGTGATCCTTCAAGCTTGCCTAAATATCCTCCAAGCAAAGAGCTCGATGCGAGGATGCGAGATGAAGAAAGTAGAAGGTAATGACATCATTTTTACTCTTGAAAGCTATTAACCTAGATTCCTATTAGTACTCGTTGAAAAAGTTTGAATCTTTCTTGCTCTGTGTGTACTGTAGACAAGGTGGAGGAAACAGGGACCAAAGACACCAAGAAAGGAGAGGAACTAAGGAATCTCGAGCCATCCCAGCCCCTGATGCAAATGCAGAGCTGGTTACATCAATGCAGGTAAATATATCTGATGAAAGCTTATTACTACTTTCTATGTAAAACCTTCTTGCCTTCTATTCAATGTTTTTTACCCTGTTCTTGCAGAAACGGCAGAGCCAGTCTACTAATAGAAGCCGAAGCGAGAAGTTTAATCCACATCCTGAAGAAGTTGCATCCGGTTTCCCAATCGATCCACCAAGGCCATCATCGCAAGCGTTTGAGCCAAACAGAGAATCTCAGGGCAACATTATCATTCCTCACAAGAGAGCTTCACATTCGGGTCCTCTGTCACGTAGATCTGCTTCCGCAAAGGGTAGAAGAAACTACCAAGATCCTCAGAAAGTTTCATCCATAGCTGCTGATTACTCGGCAATGCCCGGTTTCGCTGCGACAAGAACAGGCGCGTCGCAGCAAGAGACTTGCAGAGGGATGACTCGGCTTCCAGGTTCCTTCAAGGAAACCTCTGATGAAACAAACCAAGAAGAGAATGGTAGAAGCAACAAGAAAGACCCAATTCTTGTAAGTGCTATAAGCGTCTTCATTGCTATTATTAGAAACTACTACCGATGTTACTATATTGAAAAAAACCACTTTTCTTGCTATGTGTGGTGTTGCAGTTGGGTTATGGATCAAAAGGGCACAAGATTCATTATTCAGGACCGTTGGTGGTTCCATCAGGAAACATGGATCAGGTGTTAAAAGACCATGACCGCCATATCCAAGAAGCTGTGAGAAGAGCAAGAATCGATAAGGCTCGAGTTAGGAAATTTCAAGCTGAAGAAGCATCGAGCAAACAAGTACCAACCAATCATCCCTCGTCTGTTTCTAGCCGTTGATCCATCAAAGAGGCAAACGTATATGATCAAACCAAAAACCTTATTTGCTTGAAACTTTTTCACACGGCGTGTTTTGAATGAAAAATAATGTATTTTATTGATTCAAGATTATTTATATCATAGAATCAAAATCTTGTCACGTTTTGGTTCCCTGTAATATCATAATTACTTTATTATAAGAGGTGTAGAAAAATATGATCAAAATTAATTGGATGAATGGAGAAAATTAAATACTTTCCAACCATAAAAGACGAGCAACAATTCTCATGAAAATAGTAAAGCTTCTTTGACGAGTCAACCTTTCAAGAAGTCAAAAACTTTGCAGGCTCTATACATAAATCTTGTCATCGTCTTTTAACATAATGTAGATCAAAACACTCTGTTTCACTCCTCTGTTTTTTGCTCTGTTTTGCTCTTTATACGCCAATTCTTCTTCTTCTTCTTCTTCTTCTTCTTCTTCTTCTTCTTCTTCTTCTTCTTCTTCTTCTTCTTCTTCTCCTTCTTCCAGTTTCAAGTTCGATAATTTCGGTAATGGAATGACTTTCCATGGGGAGGGACTTCAGAGTATTGAAGCCCATTAAGCCCAGTCAATTTGAGTCTGTATTAAAACAGAGTTTCGTTATGTTTTGATTGTTGACACTTGACACACACACAGTCACACACACATCTTGTAGCTGCAGTTAAGCACTCATTATAGTTAGATCACGTCAACATAAGTAAGTAACCGAGATTTATACACAAGTTTAGCTTAAAGCGATGCCCTAATATAAAACAAAACAATGTACACCAACACAAGCGGCGATAATAACATGTTTTCGGTTTAACCAAAAACAAAGATTACTATATATATATATATATCTTAATAATTTTAATTATCACACGTGGTGGAGCGTACCAACTCACCGTAAACTAATCCGTTTTTGTTTTCTCAACCACTCATATTAGAGTTTTGTTTCTCCACAGAAATAAAATAAGAAATGTGTTTTGTGCACTTCAAAACATAGATTTTGTCATCTAATGCCATTATTCATATTCCTTGTCCTTTTTTTTCCCGTGACGCTTTTTTTTTTTAACAAATCAAAAGCTTTCTTGATCTTTTCACCCTTAAATTATTACACTTCTCCATCTTTAAAGTTCATCATCATCTTCACTTCCCATCTTCACTTCCCAGACTCACAAAAAAAGTTAACACAAAATGCATAAGCAAATACTCTGTTTCATCACTCTGTTCATAGCTTTCTTGGCCTCTCCAGCCACTTGTTACAGATTCAAATTCGATTATTTCGGTAATGGTTCAGATCTGTTCTCTTTCCACGGAGACGCAGAGTATGGTCCCGACACCGATGGCATGAGTCGGTCCGGTGCACTCGCTTTGACCCGAGACAAAACCCCTTTCTCTCATGGTCGAGCCATTTTCGTAAATCCAATCACTTTCAAACCCAACGCTTCATCTCTTTACCCTTTCAAAACCTCCTTCACTTTCTCAATCACTCCTCACCAAACTAACCCAAACCCTGGCCACGGCCTCGCCTTCATCGTCGTACCGGCTAACCAAAACACCGCCGGTTCCGGTGTAGGCTACCTCAGTCTCGTGAACCGAACCAGCAACGGTAATCCCAACAACCATCTCTTCGCCGTCGAATTCGATGTCTTCCAGGACAGATCTTTTCGCGACATCAACGATAACCATGTCGGAGTCGACATTAACTCCGTCGATTCGATGGTTTCTGCGAAATCCGGTTACTGGGTCATGACGAGAAACGGATGGTTGTTCAAGGAGTTGAAGCTGAGCAGTGGAGACAAGTACAGGGCTTGGATCGAGTACAGCAACAGTCTTAAAGTCATCTCCGTTACGATCGGGTTTGCGCATTTGAAGAAACCGAACCGGCCGTTGATCGAAGCTAAGTTCGATCTCTCCAACGTTCTTCTCGAGAAAATGTATACCGGTTTTGCCGGTTCTATGGGGCGTGGTGTCGAGCGTCACGAGATCTGGGACTGGACTTTCCAAAACTAAAACCGGTTCGGTTTGGCTCGGGATTGGTTTAGATCGGTTTGTGTCTGGTTTTACTCCAGCTAGTTGATAGTGTTGTATCGTTGTTGTCACATTTCTAGTGAAAAAAGTTTCTAGAAGCGAATAAATGCCCAAAGTGATGGCTTATTGACATTGTATCATTGTTGTCACATTTCGAGGAATTATTACAAGGACGCTTATTCCCTGATTTAGTATTATCCTAATCTTAATTTTATAACTAGTATCAATATAGCCATTCTAGAACAGTGAGTCTTTCATGTGTCCACTTGGCGTCATCTAATTTGACCCAAATATGTGTTGAAAAGTCAAAGCTGATGGCTCTTGTCACTAATACAAAAACAAAACAAACACTAATCACACACACAACTTATAATGCAGATCCAAAAACTCTGTTTGATTGCTCTGTTTATAGCTTTGTTCAGCTCCCAAACTATTTCCTCCGTCAAATTCAACTTCAACCATTTCGACGGAACAAGTCTAGTCTTCATCGGTTACGCCTAGCATGGACCAGGAACCGATGGCATGAGCCGGTCCGGAGCTTTATCCATGACCCGTGACAATATTCCATTCTCACATGGTCAAGGCCCTTTACACAGATCCAATCCCATTCAGATCCCTTAACGACACTTCTTCCTCTTCAGTTTACACTTTTAAAACATATCTTTCACTTCCATCGCTCCTGAACGGTCAAACCCTAACCCTGGTCATGGCCTCGCCTGGTCGTGGTCCCAACCGCAAACTACGACCGAGACTCAACCCGTGGCTTCCTTCCTAGGTCTAGTTAACCGCACAACCAATGGCAATCCGAATTCGATGTTTTCCAAGATAAACGTTTTGGCGATATAGATGATAATCATGTTGGTATTGATATCAACTCTGTTCATTCCAAGGTTTCTGAGAAGGCTGGTTATTGGGTTCAGACAAGAACAGGAGGAAAGAATCAATCGTTGTTTAAGGAAGTGAAGCTTAGTAGTGGAGATAAATACAAGGCTTGGATTGAGTATAAGAGAAGTACGGTTACTGTTACGCTTGCACCTGCGCATCTAAAGAAACCAAAGAGGCCATTGATTGAAACACAAGTCAATCTCTCTGAGGTTGTTCTTGAGAGAATGTATACCGGTTTTGCTGGTTCCATGGGTCGTGGTGTGGAGCGTCACGACATTTGGAGCTGGACTTTCGAGAACACTGCCAAAAACAGCTAATCCGATTTTTTTTTTTTTTTGACTTTGGTTTATTTTAGAAAACGTTAAGAAACCTAAGAGGCCTTTGTTTAAAGCTGATTGAAATCTCTCTAAGGTTTTTCTAGATCAAATGTAAACCGGTTTTGTCGGTTCTATGGGACGTGGCGTGGTGCTGATGAGCGTCACGACATTTGGAATACTTATGAAAGTCGAAGTAGTATGCATGCAGCAATTTTAGGTTTGTTTTTCAACTATTCAGACGTTCTTTTGCAATTTTGATACGGTGATAAAATGACCATACTATTTACGAACTACTATACATTTGGTCATCTTACGTTGTTAAAATAATTAGAAACAATTATTAGTTCATAAATACAAAGATAAAGCTCTATATTAATCTTCAAACAATGATGGGGAATCGTTGTCTTGTTTTTGAGGCATCAACTTGCCACTATACTAGTTCGAGAGTTATACTCAGAATCAATTCAGAAACATCCTTAGACCATATGTCATATCGATTATACCCTAAAGTATCTTGCTCTATGTTATTTAAACATATCCCCTGGAGAGCTGCGTAACCTGATCATACAATTTACAAAGTACACGTGGCGTGTCCCGAAGCATGTGGCTTTGTTTTTTTCTTCTGCTATTGTCGACTTGTCTCAGTCCATTCCATGGAAATGGCAACTCCCTCCGTCATTAAATGCTCCCACCAATACATTCTCTTCCATTCACCAAAACAATAATACAAACAGTTTTGTTTTTTGTTATTCAAGGTTTTTCGAAGTACAATTATTAGTTTTTGTTGCTTTTTGTTAGGTCTTCAACCATTTTGTTGTTGTTCTTAATTACATTTTGTATAACCCTATCTTTTTGGTCATGTTTAAATTTCTATACAACACGTAGAATATTGCTTGGACCATAACATTGTTTAAACGTATGGTCTTTTTAAAATTAGATTTAATTTAGCAAAAAAAATAAAGGGAAGGGAGAAAGAAGTCAAGAACACAGGAGAAAAAATAGTTTTATTTATTTATTATTAACAAGTTTGGAATGTTTACCAAATGCTAATTCTAAATGATCATATTTTATCAGAAAACACCTTTGTTTTTTCAAAAACACAAAAATACCACTTTCTGAAGTAAAAAAGCACAATTAAAAAAGAAATATACAAAGGTTCTTCAATATTCGTAACTTGGTTTTTAATCAACACTTTTACATGTGTTTTCGATTAAATTTTATCTGCTAATTATGAAGATAAAATGGTAAATTTACATATAAATAGTGGTATTTTGATAGAAGAACAAGAAGTAATGGTATTCTCGAAGATTGTGCATAAATGAGTGGCTATTTTTTCAAATTATCCACAAAAGGTTCAATAGTTGTTTTACCCCATATGTTCACTTATTTATACATTTAGTCCAAAACCATACGAAAAAAGGTTTGCCTTTAACGTTCTGCATTTCCTAGGTCGTCGTTTCACCACGTTGCTTGCGTGGAAAGAGAAGCGAGGATTACCAAAAAGCGAGAAATTTAATCAATAAACCCTCACTGTGAAGTAAAAACCGTAGGCCCAAAACCGATTTTCTTTCCGGAGAATTTAATTTTGTGAAGCTGATGCTTTTCTACAAATTAAAAAGACGAACTGTGCTTGCGATGTGTGGTTCGGTTTTCTCGGCGCCTCTTAGACCCAAGTACTTCTTATCTTCTTCTTCTCCTTTTGCCTTTCTTTTATTGCTTCTAGAGTTTAGTGGTCAAGAAGCTTCCTCGTGTTTGTCTCTTTATACAATCAAAGGTTGCATTTTTTCCGGATATATATCTGATTTTGGTGTTTTCTGTCAAAGGGTCCTTTTAAAAATCGTTACTTTCTTCCCAATTTCTTTGCTTTTTTCGATTCTAGCTTTAGGGTTTTTTTGGATGGGATCATGAAATGGTTGCGGCTGGAGTAATGGAGTATTGGATAATCCGGAGGAGTTATCGGATACTTGGCTGTGTATTTGGTAAATTTCCGGTTAGCTTTTGGTTGATGATTTGATCAAATCAGTTATGGAGGGCTTTTCAGAATCTAATTCCAGAGGATTAAACACCTCTGGGGTTTCAGAGTTTTTACCAACTGAGAGAATCACTACAGATCGTTCTAAGTCTTTGTCTCACATTGGTTATGTTAGAAGCTTACTTGGTTCTTCACACAAAGAAGACAACTTGAGACTTGGTGATGACTCTATTGTGAGAGCCTTGGAATGCGAAGATGTTAGTTTGCGTAAGTGGTTAGACAATCCACACCGAACCGTGGATGCCTTTGAGTGTTTTCACGTTTTCAGACAAATCGTTGAGGTTGTGAATGCTGCTCATTCTCAAGGCATTGTTGTTCATAACGTTAGGCCATCTTGTTTCGTTATGTCTTCGTTTAACCATGTTTCGTTTATTGAATCCGCTTCTTGTTCGGATTCCGGGTCTGACGAGGAAATTCCCAAGGAAACAACAACAAGGTCTCAAGAGAGTGGTAGCTCGAGGATAGAGGAGTTTCTTTCACAGAGACGAAGCAAGCAATTGCTAGAGGAAGCAAAGAAGCAACCTTTTCCTATGAAACAGATCTTAGCAATGGAGATGAGTTGGTACACAAGTCCCGAAGAAGATAATGGTTCTTCTAGTACTTGTGCTTCTGATGTTTATCGTCTTGGTGTTCTTCTCTTTGAGGTTTGTGAGATTGATGTGTTCTTAACTGTTTTTGTTTTCTTGAGAAAAAAACTGATTTGATGAATGTTGTGCAGCTATTTTGCACTGTCTCCTCTAGAGACGAGAAGTCAAGAACTATGTCTAGCTTAAGACATCGTGTTCTTCCACCTCAGATATTGCTCAATTGGCCTAAAGAAGCTTCCTTTTGCTTGTGGTTACTCCATCCCGAGCCAAGCTATCGACCATCGATGAGGTGATTGATTCATTCTCTCTTTGATATTTAGTTTCATTGCGTAAAGTTCTGTCCTTATATATAGAGTCTTGTCTCCGTTATCTTTAATGGTGCAGTGAATTGCTACAAAGTGAGTTTATCAATGAACCGAGAGAGAGTTTGGAAGACCGTGAAGCTGCGATCGAGCTAAGGGATAGAATCGAGGAACAGGAATTACTGAATGAGTTCTTGTTTCTTCTTCAACAGAGAAAGCAAGAAGCTGCAGACAAGTTGCGTGATACGATTTCGCTTCTTTCTTCCGACATTGATCAAGTCGTAAAGCGACAGCTGAGTCTGAAGCAAAAAGGGAATGTCGTCCCTTCCTTCTTAGTCTCAAGAAAACGGATTCGACAAGGAGTAGAGGGAGCTGCAACAGAGGAAAACAACGAGGATATTACCATTGATGAGGAGGAACCTAAGCTTGATGATACTCTAGAGAGCACGCTTCTTGAAAGCTCTCGGTTAATGGCAAACTTCAAGAAACTGGAATCAGTCTACTTTGCAACAAGATACAGACAAATCAAGGCTGCTGCTTCTGAAAAACCGTTGGCTAGATATTACTCAGCGTTGAGTAGTGATGGTAGAAGTTCAGAGAAAAGTTCAGTAAGCAACCCTACACAACCACTCAAAGACCCCATCAGTGATTCTAGTAGACAAGGTGGCTGGATCGATCCGTTTCTAGAGGGTTTGTGCAAGTACTTAACTTTTAGTAAGCTAAGAGTGAAAGCTGATTTGAAACAAGGAGATCTGCTGAACTCGTCTAACCTCGTTTGCGCAATTGGTTTTGACCGTGATGGTGAGTTTTTCGCCACGGCTGGTGTCAACAAGAAGATCAAGATATTCGAGTGCGAGTCGATAATAAACGATGGCCGAGACATTCACTACCCGGTGGTGGAACTAGCTAGCCGGTCAAAGCTAAGTGGTATATGTTGGAACAGTTACATTAAGAGCCAGATCGCATCAAGTAACTTTGAAGGAGTGGTTCAGGTTACTCTCAACTTTAATCAATCAATTCAAAAAACAGAACAGTTTTTTTAAAACCTTATTTATCATTTGTTGTTAGGTGTGGGATGTTGCAAGAAGCCAGCTGGTTACAGAGATGAAGGAGCACGAGAAGCGTGTATGGTCCATCGACATTTCATCAGCAGATCCGACATTGTTAGCAAGCGGTAGCGATGATGGTTCTGTTAAGCTATGGAGTATCAATCAGGCAAAAATTCTAAACCCATTTCTCGGATTGAGTTCTTGGAGGGATGTGTGTATGTTGGTGGTTGAGTTTGTTTTCTGCTCTTTTCAGGGGGTTAGTATTGGAACCATCAAGACAAAGGCAAATGTGTGCTGTGTCCAATTTCCGTCAGACTCGGGTCGGTCTTTAGCGTTTGGTTCAGCAGATCACAAAGTTTACTACTATGATTTGAGACACCCCAAGCTTCCTCTTTGCACAATGACTGGTCACAACAAGACTGTGAGTTATGTCAGGTTTGTTGACTCATCGACGCTCGTGTCGTCTTCCACCGATAACACGCTGAAGCTATGGGACTTAACCATGTCTAACTCCGGTGTTAATGAAACGCCTCTTCACTCATTCATGGGGCACACTAATGTGAAGGTACTATTTCGCTTCTTTTGCTTCATTTCAAACCCGGCTTTTTTAGATAACAGTCACATTTCTGTTCTTGCAATGTGTGTAGAACTTTGTCGGATTATCTGTCTCTGATGGGTATATAGCAACAGGCTCGGAGACTAATGAGGTATGTCTATTCCACTTAAAAGATTTACAAAAGAAAGAACTTTTGATTCCATTTGTTAAATGGAAAACGTGACTTTGTGTGGCTTCACTGAACAGGTTTATGTGTACCACAAGGCGTTTCCAATGCCGGTTTTGTCATACAATTTCAAAAACATAGACCCTGTGTCGGGTCTCGAAGTAGACGATGCCTCACAGTTCATATCGTCGGTCTGCTGGCGCGGACAGTCCTCGACCGTAGTCGCTGCAAACTCCACCGGCAACATCAAGATTCTGGAGATGGTGTAAACCAATGTGACTCAGTGGCAATATTGTAGTTTTATAAAGGTTTCTTCTCATTCTTGGTTTGGTTGGTAACTTGGTATAGTGAACAATTTTGGGAGAGAGAAAAGAGTAGGAAATGTGGAGACATTGATAGAATTGTGTATAAAAGAAGAATATATATGATCTTTGTATTTGTATAGTACTTATTGTAAGCCCTAATGAAACCACTAGGTCACTTGACGCACAAGTAATCTTTACAATTAATCTGTGTTGTATGTATAACCCGCCTGCGACTGCAAGATTCTCTTCAAGCTTGGTTCTTTCCAAAAGAAAAACGATTCTTCTATTCACACTGATTCTTTCCTGATTTAGCCTCTGCAACTAACCTATCTACAAGCCCCTTGAGCCTCTCAGCCCCTGAGCCAGGTCTGATCTTAGCCACGTCTCCGACAACCGAGCACTCCGGCTCCCCACCGCACCACCCGCCGGGAGTAAAACCGCCTTCCTTAGTCCGCATAAGCAGCTCCTTATCGATCTTATCCAAAGCTGTGTCGTTTCTTCTGAACTTCCGACCAAACGCAGCACCGCTCGCAATCATCGGCGGCATGTCTCTTAAGGACAACAAGCGAGGATGCTGCCTCGGAGGTCTGTCCCACGCGATGTAGTGAAGATCATGGTTCACGGCGGTTTTGGAGAACTCAGGCACATTACATATGACTGTGTGGAAGTAACTTTCAGGAGAAGAAACGAAATTTGTGTAGTACATGAGTAAAGTCCTTGGTAAATTGTCCCAACCCCAAATGATATACTCCACGAATGAATGCGATAGAGCCATCCAAGCTGATCCTGAGACCAAAAAAAAAAAGAAGTTTCGAACTTTATTGCTAACAAGAACAGAGTAATTTGATCTTACTTCAGAACTATGAGAACAAGAACTGACCGGTAAATAACTTAAACGCATCTGGTAAACTTCGACGTGGTCTGACCCAAAGAATGTCTGATTTGTTTACCATGTAGAGTCCAGGATCAATCATTAATGGCTTTGCTCGCTTCTCGCTTGAGAGACACCAAGAAACATTAGACTCAGCTAAAGAAAAAAAGCTAAAGAGAATTCAGATGCCGTGAGAGAGAAGAAAAATCTCACTTTTTCCAACCTAAGTCACTTGAGTGTTCGATAAAGTTAAGGTTCCGGTCCAAAGTCGAAAACGTATAAAGCAGATCTTCATACATAGAACATTGTTTTAGTCAAACCCAACAAGAGGAAGATCAAGAAGACAAAGGGAAAGAAAAGATCGAAGAAGCTTTTTTACCATCTTGAGTCACAAGGGGATAATCCGAAGCACTGAGATTGATAAACCAATCCCAATCAGGGCTTCTCTTAAGAAGAATCGCACAAGCGTGAAGGGTATTAGCAACCATTGTTGGTCCGGTATAGGTCACAAGATTAGCTTTGGTTATCATATAGACGTTCCCTATCTTAGCATACATAGAATCGTTGTTAATGCGAGAAGCCAGTTCAAGTCTCTCTTTAACAGGAGATTCAAGATCCATGTGAACAATGTATTGGTTTCTTGGATGGTACAATGCCCTAAGAGTTCTCCAAAGGCTCTCAAGATCTCCTTTAGACCCCGAGACAAGGTAAGCGAAACGTGGGAGCTTGTCGTCTTCACGAGGCTGTTGCTGCTCTGCAACTTTTGAATCGTTTGTTGCAAAACTAGGGAAAGTTTCACAGGTTGGTGCTCTAAGCGAAGACATTAGACCCATGTTGAAGGAAGTTACAAGGAGGACAACGCAAACAAGAGATGTGATCACAAATGAGAATACCCATTTCTTGTCCATGTTTACATACCCCATTGAAGGGATCTTGTGACCATGAGACATTGAATGACACACAAAAAGAGACTTTTGCCTGAATCAATACCTCTTTAGTGTAATCTTACAGTTTCAGCAATCTTGATTTTGAGCTCAATTTAAGCCATTAGCAACATCAAACAAATCAAGATTCGAGATTAACCTTAGATTAGTCCGACAAATAAGAAGCTATATTAACCTCAGATTAAGCAACTCTTCAGCAAACTCGCACAAGAAAGAGATCAAACTTCCAATTGTTTAGAACTGATTCAAGATTCAGTATGATCTAAGAATTGAATAGATACTGGAGGAAGAGAGATTGAAACCTTTTCTGTGCAATTTCTATCGAGGCAAGAGAGGAAGAACAGAGGTTTTATGTACCATGCTTTGGTCTGATACGATTGTTGGAGAACATAGACAGCTAAACACTCTTTGTATCGACTAAAATTATATAGACATGATGAAGAGAGAACGAATTATGAAATTCTTCCAAAAATAAAACCTTTTTTTCCTCAAGAAAGATGGATATTCGTAGAGGTTATATCCATTTCTTTTGAAGCTACAACACGAAATCGGAAAAAAAAAAATCCTATCTTTCGCTCTCTCATCACTAAAAACCGTTTCTTTACTCTTGCTATGCAAAAACGAATTAGTCAATTTATTTAAATAGTTCCATAGAAAAAAAGAAAAATCGTTTTATTTACATAAATATATTTATAATAATAATAACTTTTTTTTTTGGGGGGAAGTGATCGTCACTTTCATCATCAAAAAGCTGAAGAGTGGAGAAATGAAGAACGATTGAGATTTCGTAACAACCTAATGCAATGGTTGATATAGAGTTTGTGATTATAGCAAGATTAAGTCTTCTAAATTGATTAAAAATGTTGTAAATGTAACATATGGGCTATGGCGTATTCATTGGGTTATTCGAATAAGGAAATATGATAACAACACTTCAACTACACTACCAATTACCAAAACAATTCTCCTTTTTTTAAAATTAAATTACTTTGCCATAATTAAGAAACTTCTCTTTTTTCTTCGCCTTCTAAACAAATCTATGAAATTTTGTTAATTATGTATTTGAGTTATATAAATCATCTTCATTCAATTTTCTTTAACAGATTGAATTGGATGGTTTAACTATTTGATTAATAAAATTAGTTGTAATAATAAATTGCGAATAGGAAAACGACTTTTTTTTTTGGTTGAGTTGCAATAATTGGATCAGAAAAACAAGTCATATGGTAACGAAGGTACGTATGGACCACGGTTATACCTGAAATTAAAAAAAAAATATTTTTTGTTGTTTAAATAAAAAGAAAAGAAAATTGAAACAAAATTCCCATTACCAAAATTAGTTTTTGATTAATTTATATAAACATATAATAATTGACCGTTGTCCCTTAAGGACCTACCTGCACAAATACTAGGGTCAATGATATTAAAATTGCATCCTTTTTAGGAGGAAAAAACGTTTTTTTTTTTTTGGATTTCAAGAAGAAACAAGAAACATAAAATTGAAATGTGAACGCAAAACAAGAAATTTTTAATCTTTCCTCAGTTTCTCCTTATGGGATCAACAAGTCTTCTTCTCTCGCTATGTTCTCGAAAGATCTGGTATTTTTTTCCCCTGTTAATTAAGGTACTTTTTCTTCAGCTAAAACTCTGAGATTTTTCAGAAGAATTTGTTTGAACACTTGTCTCTTTCTCTCTCTTCTCGTTTCCTTCTGGGTAAATCCTGAGGATTCTCCGTGGTTTTTCTGTAGTTAAGAACTGAATCTAATGGTTTGGTACAAAAAGGTCTGATCTTTTTGGCGATTTCGTGGCGCAGGGACCATATGAGTGCGCCGATTTTACTGTGCGACGGCTTCGATGTGCGTCGAGTTCTAATCGGGAAGTCAAACGGGGATGAGTCATCGACGGTGACCACCGAGGAAGACGATGTGTTTTCCGGTGATAGCTTACTCGGAGACGCCGCAGAGGAGGAGGAAGAGGAGTGGTCTGGAGAGAGTCGTTTCTGTTTTTACTTCGTTAAGCAGTTTCCTTACGACGACCCTGAGATTAAGGCCAAGATCGATGAAGCTGATGATGAGATTTATCACTGTAACAGTGACCGGATTCACATTGCTAATACACTGAAAGCTAAAAGGGTAAGCCTTTTTCTGCTTTGTTGATTTTAATACTTTATGATTAGAAGTGTGTAAAATGGTGATTTTTGGTTGTAGGCTGAGAGATTGTCTCTGGTTGCTTCGATGGAGAAATTGATCTCACCATTTGATGCGTACAATTCAACGTGTCCTCCTCATCAGTTTATGGACATGGAAGTAGACGAAATTAAGAAGGAACAAGAAGTGGTTACAGGGGAAATTTACAGCTTGAGTGAAAGATTAAGTGAGAACAAGATGGAGATCGAGTTGTTGGATGTTAAAATGGCTTGTGTACTTGATCAAAGAGACAAAGCTTTCGACAGGATTAAGTTCTTGAGGATACAACGAGACAAAGGGGTGAGTTTTTTGTAACCTTATGTCTCAAGTCTTTTTCTTTCTCTAACTATTGAGAAGCTTGGAGAGGAGGAAGAAGAGATTGATGAAGAAACCTTATGTCTCAAGTCTTTTTCTATGGTGTATGAGAAGCTTGGAGAGGTGGAAGAAGAGATTGATGAAGAAACCTTATGTCTCAAGTCTTTTTCTTTCTCTAACTATTGAAGATCCTTAATCTGGTGTGTTCTGTTTTTGTAGAATTCCGCTTTTTTCCAGAGTCGTGTTGTCATGAAGAAAGCCATAGAATTGGCTGCTTCCGGGAACGTTAGAGATCTTGAAGAGCTCGCTGATTCCGAGGTTGGTTTTTGTCAGTCTATTTGTCAGTCTGAGATTTGAGCATTTCGTTCTTAATTTGCCTCTGTGTCCCATTTAGGTTGATAAATTCATGTTTCGTTGGAACAATGACAAGTCTTTTAGGGATGATTACAAGAAAAGAGTCTTGCATGAGCGAAAGCTGAGGCGGATTAGTGACACGGAAGGCGATGTAGATACCCAGAGTGGAAATGAATCAGCCGTGGAAAAGACGATAGAACTCAAGAGGTTTAGTACTGAGGAGGAGAGTGATGACGCTATGGTGTATGAGAAGCTTGAAGAGGAGGAAGAAGAGACTGATGAAGAGACTTTAAAAGAGAAGAAGCGGGAAGAGCAGTTAGAGAAAGCTCGAGTAGCGATGGAAAGGAAGAGGAAGTTACATGAGAAAGCTGCTGCTAGAGCTGCCATTAGAGTTAAGAAGGAAACTGAGAAGAAAGTTAAGGAGCTTGAGAAGAGAGCAAAGAAGAAGAAGAAGTCTGCGTCTAACTCTTCTGAGAGAGCACCAGAGACAGCCACCGAGGCGTCAGAGCCGGAGAAGACCGGGAAGGAGAAACCACTACTAAATGGGAGATCAGGTAATTCGAAACAGAGAAGTTTTAGGTATGGACATCACAGAAAAGGAAATGAGGCTGTCCCCAAAGCCATCTTGAAGCGTAGAAAAGCTTACAGGTTATGGGTTTGGACTGTTTCCTCTGCTGCACTTGCACTCCCGCTCGCTCTCCTCATTGTCTTCTTCTACGTTCGATGAGAGGAAGAAGAGAGATGTGTTTCTCAGTCTTTTGGAGAGTTCAAGTTTAGGGTTTAAGTTAGCTTAGAAGCAAATAACGTCTTGTTGGTGTTGTCATCAATTTCAGAGTAGTCAACACATTTGCCTCCATAGAGAGAGACGATGGACATATTCCCTAAGCTGATGCGGTCAAACATGTTTAACCGGATCAACTTCACGGAGACCTCGAGCATCTCTCTCCATGGATGCAAATGTCTTGACCATCTTTGGAATTCATGATTCCAAACAAACACGTCATGATTTATATGTTTTTGATCTGTTTGTCGACTTTAGGAACCAAAAAAGCACTCTCTTAGTGTTGTTGAGTAGCTTCAGATTGTTGTACATAGAAGAGAGACCTCATGAATTTTTGTTCATCAGCAAAAATTGTGGATTGAAACCATTTATTACAGTTGAAGTCTCTTTGTCTTAAAATGTGATTGAGAGAGAAAACATGGACAATAAAAGGTAAACAAAAAAATCAAGAAACCTTCTAATGGACTTAGAGGCTTCTCCTTAACCGAGGTTCCGTTTTCAGTGAGAGACAATAAGCTATGGCTGTCACCAGTTTGGCTCCTCCGTGGGTCGTCGTCCTGAGACAATCTTTCCGAACAGTCGCGGCTTCTTCTTACCTTAACACAACTCACAAAACCCTAATCACAAATCGCTCTATTCTTCCCCCTTCGTCTCCTTTCCGACATTCAGGTTCATTTCTCAAAATTTTATCTTGGTTTTGTTTTGCTTCGTCTGAAATTTGTTTTTGAATTTTTTGGATTCACCATCGTACTTATTAAACGAACAACACCCTTCAATTCGATTCTTCCTGGTGAAATTTTGCAACTTTCTCTTTGGGAATTTAGAGGTTTACGGCATAAAATTTGTCTTAAGATGTTCTCGTAGTTGAAATTTCTTAATCTTTGAGACTAACCGTATGAGCTTGAAGTTTCAACCTAATCAGATTCAATCAAAAACTGATTGTTTTGATGTAACCCACATTAAAAAAAATTGCAGCTTTGAGAAGATGTCACGTTGCAGAAGCAATAAAGGGAGATGTAGATTTTCTCCTCAAAGGAGTTGGAGACCAAGCTGTTGCTAAAGAAGTTAAGCATATCCTTGAAATGGTATTTTAGCCGTTTTTCTCTACCTTTGATTTCTAACGAAGGGTGATTAGTCTTCAATCTCATTCTCTTAATGGGATTATCTATAGGCGAGACGTGCATCATCAAGAAGAGAAGTTCTTCACACTGATTTTCTCACACCGCCTATTGTTAAGGAATCAGTTTCAGTACTGGCAAAGCTTGCTGATGTTACAATCGTTGCTCAGGGAGGTTACCCTGAGGTCAGTTGGTTTTTCATCTTTAAAGAGAATTTTCCTCTGAAAAATGTTAGACTTTAAAGTTGATAACTTTTGTGTGGAACATTCTTGGTCTTAGGCTGAGCGGTGTAGGATCTCGGTGGGACATCCTGATGTCTTTACCAATGATCCAGATATAGTTGCAGCTTTGAGGTAACAAGTTCATGGCATTCTTGAGGTTTTGCTTTTGTTTGAGTCTTGAGTATGTTTCGCTTTTTAGTATCACAGGGAACTTCGGGTTTCAAGCTTGTTCTCACGGTGACTACCTTGGCGCGATTCTTGGCACTGGAATCTCCAGGGAAAAACTTGGGGATATCTTAGTTCAGGTATCATCTGATTGATTCTGTACAACAACACTCGTCTGCTTCATTGCAAAATCTTTCCTTTAACTCTGTTTCTTTTGGCTATCTTCGCCCTGAAGGAAGAAAAAGGAGCTCAGGTCTTGATAGTTCCCGAACTAGTCGACTTTCTTGTTTCAGCTCTCGACAAGGTTTAATTTTTAAAACTCGTTGACTTGACCAACATGTTGCTGCTTCTGCAGTACTCTTGACCTTATTATGATGTGAAATTTAATAGGTTGGGAATGTCTCTGTAACGTGTAGTAAGATACCTTTGCTTGCTCTTGAATACGAACCTCCTAGGTAAGATACATAAAGCTTCTTTTTTGCTTTGTAAGAAGGTTCTGCATTGGGCTTGATTGTTTTGTTTGTTAGGACTAATTCATTCAAAACCGTGGAAGCCTCTTTGAGAATTGACGCAGTTGCTAGTGCTGGTTTCAAGATTTCCCGGTCAAAGCTAGTTGATTTGATTAGGTAAAATTAACTCTCTTTCTTTTCTTGTAGATCTTTGATTGCATTCTCATATTTGCTAAACAAGAAAACATTCTTCTTTGTTCGCAGTAGTGGAGACGTTCGGGTTAACTGGGCGACGGTGACCAAGAACGGAACCACCGTAAAGACCGGTGATGTTGTCTCTGTTAGCGGGAAAGGGAGACTCAAGGTAAGGTTCTTGAAACTTGAAAGTTGAGTTTAGTTAGTGATTAGTTTCAATAAACATTAATCTTTTGTGTTGATTGTGTTTTCAAATCACAGATTGGAGAGATCAATGAAACGAAGAAAGGGAAATTTGCAGTTGAAATCATCAGATATCTGTAGAAAGTTTTCTTTCTTCTGACAAATTCATGATTACTCTTGTTTTATCTTTTCTCCATTTGTTGACATTTTGTAGAAATAAAATCATACCAAAGTTCAAATAGAAGAAGTAATAATCTTGGATTTCGAACATCTTTTAATTTTTGTAATGTAGAACGCCAAACAAATATAACAAAGTAATAGAACCAACGAAAAACTCGAGTATAAACATTTATTTGTTTTTTATTAAATAATTATGTTTGTGTTTATATGTAGTATACACAAAATCATTACATGCGTATGCATCATGCATGAAGATTTTGTATACGTACAATCTATAACAACTCAAAATTAAATACATTATATAACCCTCAGTTTTCAATATTATAAGATTAAGCATACCCACAATATCCATACTCACATTTAACCCCGGACTTACACTTCCTCGTGCATTTCCCACAATGGTTAGGGTTAAAATTAACATAAGTGCAAACGCCACCGCAACAACGCTGCCCAAAACCGCATTTGTGACCGCAACGACCGCAATTATTCATGTCTCCAAGAATGTTCCTACAATGCTTCTTGCAGCAATGCAAGAGGCTCGTCCCGTTGTTCGCTTTTACGCCATTACAAATATTGTAACTCGCCACGTGACATCTCATCCCTTTCTTGATCTTCTTGTACTGAGAAACTAGTAGTCTGGTTTTGGATGAAACTGTCACGTTTGAGAGTATCGAGGGAGTTTCATCAAGAACGTAAAACTCGGGATCTTCTTCGTCGATAACTTCATCAGCTAAAACCGAATGAGGATTAGATGTTGCTGTTATTAGGAAATAGAGGATTAAGCAGAGAAGGGATGTGGTTTTAATGAATGTGTTAAGGCTCTTAATGACCATTTTGTTTTTAAGTAAAAATTAGCCAAAGAGAGTTTGGCTTTGGAGGAGACAAGAAGCAAAGAAAAGGAAGAGTGGGACTTAAGGGAAGATGTGTGTGTTCTTGCGAATGAAGGGGTATTTTAAAGACACGCACACATTTTTGAAAATTCTAATTTAAATTTATTTTGAAAGAAATTGACCTTTTTATAAAATTGTTTAAATGAATTGAATATTCCTTAAATCTAGGCTACAACAAGTGATTGCTGTCTAGATTGAGTCATACAATTTGGGATCTCACTAGCGGGAAAAAGTTTTTCAACGGTATATAGTGAAAACAAGTTTTTTCGTAGTTACAAAAACGATATGGTTAACCACAATATAAATTGATGATGATAGAGTAAACCTAAAAAGTTCGACAGTAATTTTATTTTCTGGTAGCCTGTTATTTTAACGATTTGCATAGCATTTTCAATAAATGTCATATTGACCAAAATGTTGCTTTTGTTCTACTGTGCATTAGTTACAACAATACCATTTTTTCATTTATCTTTTATATGTTAAGTAAATATGAAATTTGTTTAATCTCGAGTATAATAAATGAAATTCGTGCCTACGTGTAAGGAAAAAAAAACTAAAAAAATAGAGTCAAACTAATAATTAGACTAAAAATCAGTGATGGGAACAAAACAACACACATGACCGATTAAAAAAAAAAACAGCACAAGTGCTCATGAAGTGCATGTGCATGAGTTGTCTCTTTAGTCGTAAACCAAAGTTTTCATTTCAAAATGTCGCACGTGTGGTGACGGTGTGCGACAACTTGATCCTTCTTTTTTGCCACTAAAGCCGGTAAGAGTCACGTACGGGTTACGGTTACTGCGCAACCGAACCTGGCGACTGTAATGTGCCATCTCTCCACGTGTCTCTACGAAATGTTCGTGTACAGTCGTATCTTCACCGTCTAAGTTGATTACTTTACTCGGACCATATGCTCCATAACGTTGTGCCGTTGACCATTAACCTTTTTTCTCAATCGTTGACCCAAACAATAAGTAGGAGGAAACAGTGATAGTTCTTATATAATCTTTGTCTACATTTTTATGTAGCTTAAATTGAAACAGAAATAATTATCGTGTAATGTTCATTTATTATATATTCTGGTCACTGATTCCTAAGTCCTAACTCTATGCCGCACATGACTTGCAAAGGCTATATAAGCTATGAACCAATGTTTGTTGACCAAAATGTAATATATTACACAGTTTCAGAGGCCTAAAATTTGATTAGATAATGCGATTTTTATTTAATCATAAACAATGGAAACTTCGATCAATTAAACTAACAATTGTGGCCGTAAAAGTACATAAATGAGATGTGGCCTACGCTCTATGAAAAAAACGAATTTGGCTTGATTTAATTAGTTTAAAACTAGTGTTTATGTTATGGGTTTAAAACCCTTCAATCATGTAAAACACAACCCTACATTTCATGATATTAGATGTTATATCATGAATGATCATGTAGTGTTTATAGCATAACACAAAACATAAACATTCAAGATGCAAGGAAACTACTACCTACGTTGATCTACAAGAGACTCCAAGATACATCCATAGAGACCTTATAATACATTGATACAAGCGTTGATCTACAAGAGACTCCAAGATACATCCATAGAGACCTTATAATACATTGATACAAGCACCGAAACAAAATAGATATTTTTCTAATCAACATAGAGAGATTACTAACACTGTTTAGAAATAGAATGATCAGTGAGGGTTAGGAGGGCCATAACACAAAACAGAAACATTCAAGATCCAAAGAAACTACTACCACAATCTGCAGGAGTCTCAATGTACTACTTTCCCTAACAACAAACAGAAAACTAGATTGTGTACATAAACATCTTGCATTGTAACAGCGAGTCAAAAACTTCCAAGTCTACGTACCACCTATTATAGAAAACTACACTTCTTATAACCCAAAAATAATATTGGACATGTAATGCATTTAAGTCAACCTAAAGAGAAAAGAAGGATCAGAGCATCTACTTTAGATACTGCTAATTTCACTACTACCGTAACAGAGATATCTTCAGTCACTTTTATTGTAACAACTTCTTATTAACGGGTATAAATTATAGAATGTAACACAGTAATTATCAGCATATGATGCAGAATTCCAGAATTGTGAACACTGTCATTTCACAGGTTTAGAGCATAATACAAAACATAAACATTCAAGGAAATTACTAGCAAATTCGGCAAGAGTCTCTCACTATCTACAAGAGACTCCAAGATAAATCCATTTCATAAATTGAGAGACATTTTATTATAATACGTACAAGCACAAAACTAGAGATTACCAAGACTGTAAACACACAATGTAATGTTCCAGTATCAAAACAGAAAATCTACCTGTTCATCAATGGATATGTTAGCATTCAGTTTCTAGAATCTGACGTATGCTAGATCAATGAGAGAATGTTATTAACTTAGCTAAAAAGAAGATTTTGAGCTTAAAAGAAGATTAGATAATGCGATTTTTATTTAATCATAAACAATGGAAACTTTGATCAATTAAACTAACAATTTTCATGAAATTGTGGCCGTAAAAATACCTAAATGAGATGTGGCCTAAGCTCTATGTAAAAACGAATTTGGCTTGATTTTTATTTAATCATATACAAATTATATCAAGAAAGATCATGTAGGGTTTAGAGCATAACACAAAACATAAACATTCAAGATGCAAGGAAACTACTACCTACGTATCATAAAAGTACTACCTACTACAAGAGACTTCAAGATACATCCATTTCATAAAAGTAGAGACCTTATAATACATTCAAGATGCAAGGAAACTACTACCTAAGTTGATCTACAAGAGACTCCAAAATACATCCATAGAGGCCTTATAATACATTGATACAAGCACCGAAACAAAATAGATATTTTTTCTAATCAACATAGAGATTACTGACACTGTTTAGAAATAGAATGATCAGTGAGGATTAGGAGGGCCATAACCCATAACACAAAACAGAAACATTCAAGATCCAAAAAAACTACTACCACAATCTGCAGGAGTCTCAATGTACTACTTTCCCTAACAACAAACAGAAAACTAGATTGTGTACATAAACATCTTGCATTGTAACAGAGAGTCAAGAACTTCCAAATCTACATATTATAGAAAACTACACTTCTTATAACCGAAAAAGAATATTAGACATGAAATGCATTTAAGTCAACCTAAAGAGAAAAGAAGGATCAGAGCATCTACTTTAGATACTGCTAATTTCACTAGTACCGTAACAGAGATATCTTCAGTCACTTTTATTGCAACAACTTCTTATTTACTGGTATAAATTATCGAATGTAACACAGTAATTATCAGCATAAAATGCAGAATTCCAGAATTGTGAACACTGTCATTTCACAGGTTTAGAGCATAATACAAATCATAAACATTCAAGATGCAAGGAAATTACTAGCAAATTCACAAGAGTCTCTCACCTACGTTGATCTACAAGAGACTCCAAGATAAATCCATTTCATAAAATGAGAGACCTTTTAATATAATACGTACAAGCACAAAACTAGAGATTACCAAGACTGTAAACACACAATGTTAATGTTCCAGTATCAAAATAGAAAATCTACCTGTTCATCAATGGATATGTTAGCAATCAGTTCCTAGAATCTGACGTATGCTAGATCAATGAGAGAATGTTGTTAACTTAGCTTAACAGAAGATTTTGAGCTATAAACGGAGCCTAGATCTTCATTTCCAATTTCTTTACTTTACGTATATACTACCACTTAACTTAGCTTGTAAAAATATCAATTTATAAGAGAAAAAGAATATACCTGAACAAATCATTGGCGTCAATGAGGGTATGAACAGTAATTGAAACACATACCTGAAAAAATGAAATAAGTCTTCACTCCATGTTTGTGTCTCCTTGTGATTTTTCATAATTGTATCAACTAAATTACAAACAAGTTTGAAAAGCACATACCTGTCAAAGAAATCTGCTACACTTGAAATCTCATGTGAGTCTCTAACAATTTGAGCACCTTCTGAAGCGCATGCAGACCTGAAGAAACCAGAATTAATTAGTCTTTACTTCATGTAAAATGCCTCATATACTTACCTTGTGAATATTTTCTACATTTACTTCATGTAAAATGCCTCATATACTTACCTTGTGAATATTTACTTCATGTAAAATGCCTCAATGGTTGCGTCAAACAATAAGTAGGAGGAAACAATGATAGTTCTTATATAATCTTTGTCTACATTTTTATGTAGCTTAAATTGAAACAGAAATAATTATCATGTATTGTTCATTTATTACATATTCTGGTCACTGATTCCTAAGTCCTACCTCTATGCCGCACATGACTTGCAAAGGCTATATAAGCTATGAACCAATGTTTGCTGACCAAAATGTAATATATGCATGCATTAAACAAAACAAAATCTCATTGAAAACGCTACAAAGCTTATGTGAAATAATATATTACACAGTTTCAGAGGCCTAAGATTAGATTAGATAATGCGATTTTTATTTAATCATAAACAATGGAAACTTTGATCAATTAAACTAACAATTGTGGCCGTAAAAGTACCTAAATGAGATGTGGCCTAAGCTCTATGAAAAAAACGAATTTGGCTTGATTTAATTAGTTTAATACTAGTGTTTATTTTATGGGTTTAAAACCCTTCAATCATGTAAAACACAACCCTACATTTTATGATATTAGATGTTATATCATGAATGATCATGTAGTGTTTAGAGCATAACACAAAACATAAACATTCAAGATGCAAGGAAACTACTATCTACGTTGATCTACAAGAGACTCCAAGATACATCCATAGTGACCTTATAATACATTGATACAAGCACCGAAACAAAATAGATATTTTTCTAATCAACACAAAACAGAAACATTCAAGATCCAAAAAAACTAAAAACGAATATTAGACATGAAATGCATTTAGTCAACCTAAAGAGAAAAGAAGGATCAGAGCATCTACTTTAGATACTGCTAATTTCACTAGTACCGTACAGAGATATCTTCAGTCACTTTTATTGTAACAGCCTCTAATTAACTGGTATAAATTATAGAATGTAACACAGTAATTATCAGCATATAATGCAGAATTTCACAGGTTTAGAGCATAGTACAAAACATAAACATTCAAGATGCAAGGAAAGTACTAGCAAATTCCGCAAGAGTCTCTCACCTACGTTGATCTACAAGAGACTCCAAGATAAATCCATTTCATAAAATGAGAGACATTTTAATATAATACGTACAAGCACAAAACTAGAGATTACCAAGACTAAACACACAATGTAATGTTCCAGTATCAAAATAGAAAATCTACCTGTTCATCAATGGATATGTTAGCAATCAGTTTCTAGAATCTGACGTATGCTAGATCAATGAGAGAATGTTGTTAACTTAGCTTAAAATAAGATTTTGAGCTATAAACGGAGCCTAGTTCTTCATTTCCAATTTCTTTACTTTACGTATATACTATCACTTAGCTTAGCTTGTAAAAATATCTGTTTATAAGAGAAAAAGTAAAGAAAAGAATATACCTGAACAAATCCTTGGCGTCAATGAGGGTATGAACAGTAATTGAAACATACCTGAAAAAATGAAACAAGTCTTTACTCCATGTTTGTGTCTCCTTGTGATTTTCATAATTGTATCAACTAAATTACAAACAAGTTTGAAAGGCACATACCTGTCAAAGAAATCTGCTATACACTTGAAATCTCCTCTGAGTCTCTAACAATTTGAGCACCTTCTGAAGCGCATGCATACCTGAAGAAACCAGAATTAGTTAGTATCTACTTCATGTAAAATGCCTCATACTTACCTTGTGAAGCTTTTCTCTATGACATTGATCGTTTATTTCTATCCCAACAAATCGAAAGATAATCTTTGTCTAAAGACTTTTCAATTCTCATAGCTTTTCTAAGCCGTTGGTAGTAAAATGAGGAACCTGTTCTCCATTCATATGTCTTTATCTGAGAACTTTTTTTAAGCCGTTGGTAGTAGTAACCTTAGGGACAAATTTTTCGGTTCAAAACCTCTGTCGTTTTAAGCCTTTGGTCGTTATTCCCCATCCAACAAGCTAAAAACCGAACTGTAGTCTTTCTCTAAACACTTTGCCAAGCCTTGTGGCGAAGTGAGAGTCTGTTTCTGATTTATAGTCTTTGTCTTAAACTCCTTTCAGCCGTTGCTTCGTTCTCCATTCATAGTCTTTCTCTGAGAACTTTTTTTAAGCCGTTGGTAGTAACGTAAGGAACCAATAGTCTCTGTCTTAAGACTTAGCCTTTGTCTAAACACTTTGCCAAGCCTCGTGGTGAAGAGAGGAGTCTGTTTTGATCTATTGTCTTCGTCTTAAACTCCTTTCAGCCGTTGGTTCGTTCTCCATTCATATTCTTTTATCTGAGAACTTGTTTTAAGCCGTTGGTAGTAACGTAACGAACCAACTTTTCGGTTCATAGTCTCTCTGTCTGAAGACTCGTTTTAAGTTGTTGGTCGTTATTACCATCCAACAAGCCCAAAACCGAATTGTACTTTTTTTTTAGACTTTGCCAAGCCTTGTGGTGAAGTGCGCAGTCTGTTTTCGATTTAAACTTAACTCTTTCCTCTAAGGATTTTGAATCCGCTGGTCGTGTTTACCGAACCATAGTCATATTGTCATTCTTTCCATCCAATTCTGTCTCTGTCTAAAAACTTTATGAAGCCATTGGTAGTAACGTTACAATTCACAATCTTTGTCAATTCATAGTCTTTGCCTTTTAAGACCTTTTATAAGCCGTTGGTGAATCTTTTTTCATAAGCCGTGGGTTGTATTGCCTAAAGACTCTTCATAAGCCGTGTGTAAGCAAGCAAGCAATGATCCCGTATACGATTCACAAGCCGTGGGTAAGCAATATTGTCTAAAGACCCTTTTATAAGCCGTCGGTCGTTATATCCATTCATAAGACATTTTGTAAGCCGTTGGTAGCACTTTTCATAAGCCGTGGGTACTGTCTAAAGACTCTTCATGAAGCCGTGGGTATGCAGTGGTTCTGTGTTCGATTCGCACTCTCTGTCTAAAGAATTTGCATAAGCCGTGTGGGGTAGCAAATGAATCCGTTGTTTAAAGACTCTTCATACTCGTGAGAGAGATATAGTCTCTGTCTAAAGACTCTTTATAAGCCGTGGGTACTGAGTTAATGAATCCATGATCACAGCCTTCTCCTCAGTGACTTCTTCTTAAAGCCCTTGATCGTTTTCTTTCTTTCATATCCCTTGGTCGTTATATAGACTTTTTGTAAGCCGTTGGTAATATTGTCTAAAGACTCTTCATAAAGCCGTGGGTAAGCAATGAATCCGTTTTTTTTACTCACAGTCTCTGCCTAAAGACTCTTCATATCCGTTTTGCAATTCAGTCTTTGTCTTAAGACTTTTCATAAGCCGTAGGTAGCGATATTGTTCCTTAATAAGCCGTGGGTACCTTATTAAATTCATAGGCTTTGTCCTTAAGACTTTTAAGCCATCGGTCGTTAAATCCATCCAACAATGTCACTGCCTTTGTCTCACGATTTTTTGTAAGGAACCAACTCTTCGGTTCATAGTCTCTCTGTCTTAAGACTCGTTTTAAGCTGTTGGTTGTTATTCCCATCCAACAAGCCAAAAACCGAACTGTACTCTTTTTTAGACTTTGCCAAGTCTGTTTTCGATTTAAACTCTTTCCTCTTGAGGATTTTGAAGCCGCTGGTCGTGTTTACCGAACCATAGTCATCGTTTCTAAGCCGGGGGCAGTTTTCTTTAGGACCTTTTAAGCTGTTGGTCATTCTTTCCATCCAATTCTGTCTTTGTCTAAAAACTTTTACTAAGCCGTTGGTAGTAACGTTACAACAATTCACAATCTTTGTCAATTCATAGTCTTTGCCTTTCAAGACCTTTTATAAGCCGTTGGTGTATCTTTTTTCAATGCATAATCTCTGTCTAAAGACTCTTCATAAGCCGTGGGTTGTATTGTCTAAAGACTCTTCATAAGCCGTGGGTTGTATTGTCTAAAGACTCTTCATAAGTCGTGTGTTGTATTGTCTAAAGACTCTTCATAAGCCGTGGGTAGTATTGTCTAAAGACTCTTCATAAGCCGTGGGTTGTATTGTCTAAAGACTCTTCATAAGCCGTGTGTTGTATTGTCTAAAGACTCTTCATAAGCCGTGTGTAAGCAAGCAATGCATCCCGTTTTCTATTCACAAGCCGTGGGTAAGCAGTATTGTCTAAAGCCCTTTTATAAGCCGTCGGTCGTTATATCCATTCATAAGACATTTTGTAAGCCGTGGGTAAGCAGTGGTTCTGTGTTCGATTCACACTCTGTGTCTAAAGAATTTGCATAGCAAATGAATCCGTTGTTTAAAGACTCTTCATACTCGTGAGAGATGTATAGTCTCTGTCTAAAGACTCTTCATGAAGCCGTGGGTAAGCAGTGGTTCTGTGTTCGATCCACACTCTCTGTCTAAAGACTCTTCATAAGCCGTGGGTACCGGAGTTAATGAATCCATGGTCACAGCCTTCTCCTCAATGACTTTTTCTTAATCGTTTTATTTCTTTCATAGCCCTTGCTCGTTATATAGACTCTTTGTAAGCCGTTGGTAGCACTTTTCATAAGCTGTGTGGGTAGTAATATTGTCTAAAGACTCTTTATAAAGCCGCGGGTACGTTTTTTACTCAGTCTCTGCCTAAAGACTCTTCTTATCCATTTTTCAATTCAGCCTTTGTCTTAAGACTTTTCATAGGCCGTAGGTAGCAATATTGTACCTTCATAAGCCGTGGGTACCTTATTAAATTCATAGGCTTTGTCCTTAAGACTTTTAAGCCATCGGTCATTGAATCTATCCAACAGTGTCACAGCCTTTGTCTGAAGACTTTTTGTAAGCCGTTGGTCGTTGTTTATATGAATCCGTTGTTTAAAGACTCTTCATACTCGTGAGAGAGATATAGTCTCTGTCTAAAGACTCTTTATAAGCCGTGGGTACTGAGTTAATGAATCCATGATCACAGCCTCAATGACTTTTTCTTAAGCCCTTGGTCGTTATATCCATCCAATCTATTTCATACCCTTTGTCTAAAGACTCTTCATAAAGCCGTGGGTAAGATTTTTACTCACAGTCTCTGCCTAAAGACTCGTCATATCCGTTTTTTTTTAATTCAGTCTCTGTCTTAAGACTTTTCATAAGCCGTAGGTAGCAATATTGTTCCCTCATAAGCCGTGGGTACCTTACTAAATTCATAGGCTTTGTCCTTGAGACTCTTCATAAAGCCGTGGGTAAGTTTTTTACTCACAGTCTCTGCCTAAAGACTCGTCATATCCGTTTTTCAATTCAGTCTCTGTCTTAAGACTTTTCATAAGCCGTAGGTAGCAATATTGTTCCTTCATAAGCCGTGGGTACCTTATTCAATTCATAGGCTTTGTCCTCAAGACTTTTAAGCCATCGGTCGTTAAATCCATCCAACAATGTTGTCACAGCCTTTGTCTCAAGACTTTTTATAATCCGTTGGTCGTTGTTTAGTCTTTGCCTAGAGACTTTTTGTAAGCCGTGGGTACTTAGTTTTTGTAAGCCCAATAGACCGGTTCAATCACGCAACGGGACAATGTACCCAAACTAGAATCTGGCACAGCACTATTTGATTAGTGTCTGCCTTTGATCTTTTTTGGGATTTACAAAACTATAACAAAAAGTAAGACGAGCGTTTACCTAATCTCTTGCGTTTGATCAAAACCAAACCAAGAGCAAATCTTTTGAAATTCTTATTAAAAGAAGAAACTTTGTAGTTTAATCAAGAAAACAAATCCAGAAAAAAAAATCTTAATTTCACAATCCTAAAAACATCGTCCATGTTAGAAAGAATCGAATTGATCCAACGTAGAAACAGAGAAACAAAAACAATTTGCGTGAAACTTTGTAGTCAGAATCAAGAAAACAAATCGAGAAAAAAAGTCCTAATTTCAAAACCCTAAAAACATCCTTCATGTCAGAGAAGAATCGATGTGTTCCTCCCCTTTCGGTTCAATACTTAAGAAACAGAGGAACAAAAACAATTTGCTTGAAATTTCAACTAACAAAACGGGAAATTTGAAACCCTAAAAGCAAAATCGCAAAGAGGAGGAAGAATCCCAACCGATCGCAGTAGTTTCAGGCGAAAACCTAAACAAGTTAAGAAAGAACAAAAACAAAATCACGATCTAAGAATCGAAAAAAACTTACTTATTTAAGAATCTCACGAATTTCTGCTTGGGCTAATCGCCGAAGAAGACTTATCGAGAAAACCAGAGAGAGAGAGAGATTTCTGGGAGAAAACTAAATTAAAAAGTGAACAAACTGTGGAGATATTTTTTTGATACGCGTCTTTAACACCAATTGCTTCCTAACGGATATATTTATTTTTCATCCGACACCAACCGTTGATCCGTAAGATACTCCAATCGGACGGTCCTCCATTTTCCACGATTCGCGGTTAGTACACGATGTAACTTTCGTCCTCAACGGTTTTGTTTATCCGAAAGATTAGATGGGTTTCAAAGTAGGCCTAACAAAATTGCAAACTAAGCCCCAAAAGGGCCCATTAATTCAAATTTCAAAATTTTAAAATTCCTACTCTCTCTCTCTTAACGCTCCCTTTAGTATCTCACAAATTCCAAATCTCTCTCCAATTCTCTGCGATATTTTACCGTTACGCCTCTCTTCCCTTCGTCAATGGCGAATTCAAACACATACCTAACCACACCGACTAAAACACCATCTTCCAGGAGAATCCCGCAGAGTCAATCGAAGATGCAAACTCAATCCCA